TTTCATCCCCACCTCATGTGGACGGCAAGGATGGGAGACGTCATTTGCTCTGCCCTGTCAGAGCGCTGAGTATTTACACTCTGAGGTCTTCCCGGCGGAGGAAAGCAGACCAGTTGCTGGTGTGTTTCTAAACACACGATCAGCAACTGGATCGTTCAGACTATTTCCCTGGCCTATCAGGTGTTTGCCTTCACATATGGCCATGAGGGCGCACTCTATGAGAGGCATGGCGGCTTCTAGGGCCCTCCTCGCAGGGGCTTCACTCCAGGATTTGTGTGAGGCAGCTGGCTGGGCCACTCTTCACACTTTCATCCGGTTTTATAGTCTGGACCTTCCTTCTGCACCCGACACCCGTGCGCTCTCCTCTTAGTCGTGCCTACGGGGTACTGCATGCTGGAGGCAGGCGGGGGTTTCGGTGCGGCCTAGTGGGTATCTCGTTCCCATAGTGTCGTCACCGACGCAGTTCGAGTTCCCTCGAAGGGGAACGTCTTGGGTTACGTATGTAAACCTTGTTCCCCGAGAAGGGGAACGAGACACTGCGTCGGTAGCCCATAGTGTCGTCACCGACGCAGTGTCTCGTTCCCCTTCTTGGGGAACAAGGGTTACATACGTAACCCGAGACGTTATACCTGGATCACCTGGTCAGTGTTGCTCCTCTCATTAACAGGTGAGTTTGTGTGTGTTTCAGTGTGTTTCTCTTGGCCTGAAAGGATTTAATTAAAATAGGTTTTGTTTAAGTTACATCTAGTAAGTTGTAAACTAAACTAAGTGCTTTAAATTAAATGAACTAAATGTTATTTTACAGACTTATAGGAGCACAAACACAGTTCATCTCAGCACAGGAGCCCAGTTAATCAGTTAATATTTTTGGGGATGATACTACAGATTCTTTGTGACTGAATAATCTGAACACAAAGTCCACTTAACAGCTTTTTCTGGAGCTTTAACCCAGTTTTTGTTCGATATTATTTTATTTTATGTTAATTCCGTTGTTGCTGCTGCTGGGCTGAGGTTTGTGTCAGTTTTGAATTAATGCGTGCAGGATATCACAGACTGTTTAAAATGTTTACATATATGGAGAAGAACAATTTTATTATTTTATGAGCAAGCACTCAATCAGCAGTGTTGGTGCTCAGCTGGTTAAAGGAAAAATTACTATTACTCTGCATTTTAAGGATTAACTTGGTGAGAACCTGTTTTATATTTTAAATAATATATTCATGTTCTGTTTTAATATAGGCTAGTGTTTATTTTGTTGCTAGTGTATCAGCTGCCTGTTATTTGTTTGTTTGCTGCCAGTCATCCTCAAACCTACCAAACTAGTCTGTCAGAGAGAGAAGTCACCATGGCATCCATGTAAACTGTCTCATAGTGGCTCAGCTATGCCAGCATCTGCATTAAGCTAAAACTGAAAACACTGTTGTCAGAAATGTCATCTTTTCTTTTCTTTATTCAAAGCTTTGATGTTTAGTTTCAAACAGCAGCTAATTGAAGCAGAGAAACCCAAATTCACTTACAGTTGTAGAAAACAGATTCAGATCATTGACCTTCCACTTACCAATGATCTCATTGTTTCTCACTTTATACGTGTCACAGTAGTAGAGGCACATTTTTAGATTAGCAAATGTCTAGATTTCTGCTTTTCTAATGTTTCTACATTTCCTTGTTGTTTCTAGATTTCCCTTTTTGTATTTCAATATTTTTAATACATTAATTGATTGTTTTCATTTTTCTTGCTGTGCAGCTTGTAGCTTTTCTCTGGTTTCATGTTTCTTTCTGGTGACTTTTTCCCCTGTCCTTCTCAAAGTGTGCCTCTTTTGTTTCTCTCTTTCTTGAATTATCACCAAACAGTCTGAAAAATACTGAAGCCCTGTCTCTCTCTGTAGTTATGGTCAGCTGTTTGTGATGTCTCTGAAGCATCACTCGAGAACAGCCAACAGTCCCAGTGCAGAAGTGGTGCTGTATCACTTACCAAGGTACACTTATTTACGCTTATGGGCCCGCATCGTCGTTTAGACCCACACCACCCCTAGGAAAGTAGTCCATTGGGCGGGCATCAGCACGTTCTTCTTCGCGTTGTGCCGCAGCCCCAAATGCTGAAGGTGGGCGAGGACGAAATCTCAATGCCGAACCACTAACTCCCGAGACTGGGCCAGGACGAGCCAGATGTCGGTAATTCAGTGTGCGCGTGCAATGGAGCCTCAACTGGGCCAGAGCTGCATCCATGCAATTGGTGAATGTGCGGGGAGAGAGTGCTAGGCCGAACAGAAGAACCCGATACTGGTAAGCCGTGCCCCTGAAGGCGAACCTCAGGAACTTCCTGTGAGAGGGACGGATGGAGATGTGGAAATAAGCGTCTTGCAGATCTATCGTGACAAACCAATCCTCGGATTGGATGTGACTGATGATGGCGGGGATGGTGATTATCCTGAACCTGAATCTCCTCAGAGATTGGTTCAGGTACCACACATCCAAAATCGGACACAACCCTCCATCCTTCTTGGGAACTAAGAAGTATCGGCTGTAGAACCCGGCCTCTCTGACCGGCGGGGAAATAAGTTCTATGGCCCCTTTTTCTTGCAGAGAGCAGACTTCCTGTCCCAACACCCAGCTCTGTCCTGCGTGTACTGCCGTCCCGACCATCCCGCAGAATCTGGGGGGGGCGAACCCGGAACTGCAGCCTGTAGCCGACAGGAGAGTTGTCGTTGTGTAGATCCGGAAAAAATGGTAAGGGCCGATGGGGGGTGGCGCTCGGTGTTGCACAAACCGCTCGTCCAGTTTACTGCCAGCCGGAGGCTCCTGCACAGCCTGTGGCCAATCAATATGCAGCTTGGCCACAGCCTGCGTCAACAACTCCTCGGATCCCGGCGAGGGATGATGACGTTCCGTCTCCCTGACGTCATTCTCCACGATGCTAAGCACATCTAGCTTCTCAGAGCCAGACCGTGCAAGCCTCTCTGGACTCATACCTCGAGTGGGAGAAGCCGAGAATTGGGCTCCCAGCCGGGGATGAGGGGAGGAGGATTCCGCAGACGAGGACCAGAAAAAAGGCCTCAGCCGTCCCAGCACTTTCGGCGATATCATGCTGTGATCCCCAGGATCGGATCCGCCGTAACGCCTCAGCGACCGCGGGGCCTGAGCCACGGGGGGAGCGCATTCGACCATCCTCCAGGAAGAGAGCCGCTCGAGACCTCAGCACCCTCAGGGGCAGGGCTTCGCAATGGTTGCAGGCAGCCCCCTCGAGAGCTGCCTGGGCGAGTGACATCCCCAGGAATGAGACGCACATTCCGTGGGTATCACCTTCCGTGATGAAGCGCTGACAAGGGAAGACACACTGTCGGAATCGTTTCGCGGACATGATCTCTGCTGCTTCGCTCAACTTCAGGTAAGATGATGATCTTTCAATAGTGGAGCTTCCAAACATACCCAGAGTGCCTGCTGAACAGAAAGAAGCTAATGTGTCCTGTGTGCCGGCGTGCTTATATACGCCTCCGGTTACACCGTCACACGCTACCGTTCTAGCAACACCAATAGGATTGGAGTAGTTTCATTCATAGTTCAGCCCTGCCACGCCCAGAGGCATTCCCATAGTGTCGTCACCGATGCAGTTTGAGTTCCCTCGAAGGGCAACTGCACAGTGCTTAAGCAATCTCAGACACACTTTCATACACAATACTTTAATACTTTTACTTAAGGAAGGTTTTGAATGCAGGACTTTTCCTTGTGGAGTATTTTCACAGTGTTGTATTAGTACACTAAATTGAGTAAAGGATCCGAGTACTTGTTCCACCACTGCTATTTGCTTTGACTGCTGCTACTACCAGACAGTATCTGTGTGTGTTTCAGGTCTCAGTCTGCGGTGGAACCAGGAACTCTCCGACAAACGGAAAGAGAGACCAGCACGCCACTACTGAGCAGAACTTTGTCCAGTGACTGAACTTCCTGAACAGGACAATCACACACAGACACACACACACACACACACACACACACACACACACAGTCAGTCAGTCCTGTCACTGAGCCGTCTAATGCCTCCCAGCTGAGCCTCTCTCCAGCCTGATGTCCACGACAACAACAACACGCTTTGAAGTGTGTTTGTGTCAGGTACAAGCAGGAATGTATCACGGTGATCACATTTAACCCGTGACGCGACTCTGTTTCTGTGAGGCAAAACATCCGAAACATAAAAGCTGTGAATCAAACGTGATGAAACATGAAAGGATTTGGTGAATTATATCCTTAATTAAGAAACATTTAGAGCAGGTTGCACCAACAAGGATTCATTTAAACAAACATTAAGGTTAATCAAAGTTTTCATGTGTGTTGGAGCAACAAAAGAACTGTCTGGAAGGAAAATTCTTATTTAGCCTTATTTATTTAGAACAAATAGATTTTTTTTTTGCTCTATCAATATTAATGGATTTAATCACTCTAACTTCTGTTTGGGGGATAACCATGCTCTAAGTGTCGAAAAGGATGTGAACAGAATGTATAATGTGGCTATGGAGTCAGTTAGGCTGGTGGCTACAATTGGAGCCCCATTTTTAAAATTTCTATTTGTTTACTTTTTGTGGGGTAGTCTTATGTGCATGTGTTCACTCGTACAGACAGTATACAAGCACGGACCAGGTAACGTCAAAGCAGCATTGAACACACAGGGTGCAAATGTTGGTTTCGATTGTTTGAGTTGTTTGATAGGCTACGTCATTAACAAGCAAGCGGCTCACCTGCTGCCGTGATAATGGATTGCGGGTGGAAAAATATGGAAAAAAGACGAAAGCGTAGTCTGCTGAAGCCTCCCTCCGCTGCTTGTTTGGATGGATGATTTGCAGGCTGATTAACATCCCACCCCTCCTATGGCCCATGGTTTGTGTATGTGTATTCAGAACCAGTGACTTTTAAAATAATAATCATTTTAAAAAATTGCGTTAATGTGCAATGAAATATGCACTGGCTTTTCACCAAGAACAAGAGATATTTCAATGACAGAAAACGACTCTAATCAATATTTATATATTAACATTGGATCATAGTGGATATTGCATTTTTCTGTAACAACACAATCTGTTGGGATATACTATTAAAATAGACTAATTTAAAAAGTAAACATATCCTGCACTAATAACAATGATACTTAAGTTTGGAGTCAGAATCGCGTTACAGTTTGTAGACGTCAAGAAGCTTCGATTAAATCCAAACAAGTTTTATCTTCTTTCTGTGTGTTACAAACAATTATTTGTTAAACTGTGAGGAAAGTCTGGTATTGGTAGTAATAAGCATAACTGAGAGAGGAAACTTTATGCATGCAGGCTGGATGCTGCTTTTTCACATCAACTTCCAAAATGCGAAATATAATGTGGAAATTAACTGCAATTCTCCATCAATCTACAAGGTGCAGCTGCAACCGACACAGCAAAAAAGAAGAATTCATTTAATTAAGTGTCATAAACAGAACTAATCTGTAGAGGCACTTTGGGTTCAGAACATCTGAATGAAATAAAGTCCAGGTCCAGATGGAGGAGGTGGCTGAGTGTGGAGCTCAGTCTCAGTGTGTCTGCAGAGACTGTGTAGAAGGACAGAGCAGCAGCAGAGCAGTCCAGATACACTGATGATACTCTGTCACATCCAGAGGAACACACAGGGATGATGGTGGACTTGACATTGTGTCTGACAGTGGAGCTGATCTCAGAGCAGTTCAGACTGCAGCACTGTTGTGATTCCTCTGTCAGTCACTGCTGGATGAAGCTCTCCTCTCCACTCTACCTCCCAGTAACAAGGCCCAGTCAAAGCCTATCCACACACAAGCTGGACACAGCTCCTCACCACCACCTCTCTCATCACTCACTCTCTAACAGAGATTACCTCCATCTGTTGAGAGAAGAAGATAGACAGTAGAAGTCATAAATCAGAGTTTACAGACTCAATTTATCATCAGTCAGTCAGTGATGCAGCTCATCCAGTATAAAGTTGAATGAACACTCGATAAAACCCAGCAATAATTACTTCGCGTTTATTTCGCATGTAAATTAATACTGTTTAGTATAACACTGGCAATGAACACGAAAACAACTCAAACACATGCTTTGGCTGATCGGATTGGCTGACTGTTCTCTCTCTCTATACCTTTCTGTCCAATCCTGAAACCTGTCACCATTCAGGTCTCACAGCTTCACTGAGGAAAGCAGCCGCTGAGAAGGTTGGAGGTTTACAGGAAATACTGTATCTCTGCTTTGATACTAACTGTGTTTAGAGAAATACTGCTGAAACCAGCATGGACTGACTCCAACACTATACCTCAGAGTCTCCAGTCTACAGTGTAGACTCTCCACAAGATCAGACAGCAGCTTCACTCCTGAATCCTGCAGCTTGTTTCCACTCAGCTCCAGCTCTCTCAGATGGGAGGGGTTGGACTTCAAAGCTGAGGCCACAGAAGCACAGCTGGTCTCTGACAACCTGCAGTCCCACAATCTGAATAAAGAATAAATTATGTAATTTTAGAAGACAATGTTCCTGCTTGAAATCATTGTGTTACAGAGCTAAAGAAGGTTTAGAAAGCACACGTTTAGCTGAAACATTATTTATTCAATGTATATATGTTTTTTATTATAATTTATTTAAACAAAAATAAGATGTGAAATATAAGATAAAAAGCATGACATTAATAAGTTCAGAGTGAATTATCCGGTGTAGATTTTTTTTGTTATATTAAGATTTTAAATGTGTGTCAACATTACTCTGCCACAGTCAATGGACTAAACCAGTGAAGAAGAAAATAGACATTAGCATTAAATCCTCAGTGTGGATCATTATAATATCAGCCTCATAGCGGCATTTTAGTGTCACCACAACTTTCACATCATATTAATGTCAGCACAGAAGGAAATAATGGTGTCTGACCTCAGAGTCTCCAGTCTGCAGTGTGGACTCTCCAGAAAATCACACAGCAGCTTCACTCCTGAATCCTGCAGCTTGTTGTCACTCAGGTCCAGCTCTCTCAGATGGGAGGGGTTGGACTTCAGAGCTGAGGCCAGAGAAGCACAGCTGATCTCTGACAAACTGCAGCCCCACAATCTGAATAAAGAATAAATCAAGTAATTTTAGAAGACAATGTTCTTGCGTGAAACAACGTGATGAATCACATTCAGATGCACCCCTGCCTTCTGGACCATTTGTAGGGGTTTCACCACACAAACTGGAAGACCCACTAGAAGGTCATTGTAATAGGCAAGAGATAACCATGGCCTGTACCAAAAGCTTGTTGGCGTACTGAGTTAGGTAGGGCCTTATTTTTAAAAGACAATCCATGATCTGTGCCGAGATGGTAGGATCGTGTGTTGGGAAGAACAGGTAGAGTTGGATATCATCTGCATAGCTGTGGTAGGAGAAATCATGCCAGCGAATGATCGGCCCCAGTAAGGTGGTGTAAATTGAGAAGACAAGGGGCACCAAGAACCAAGCCTTGGGGCACCAAGAATGGCAGTGAGATAAAGATCCTTGTCCTTGCCAAGGATCATTGTAGGATTTGAACCACACGAGTGCTCTGCCCAGCAAGATACCCATTGCTGAGAGTGCAGATAGCAGGATTCTGTGGTTGACTGTGTCAAAGGTAGCTGATAGATCTGGCAGAAAGGGGCTTAGAACTGGGCTGCAGCTCTAGCTGATCTTAGGGCTTCTGTCACAGACAACAGAGCCATCTCAGTAGAGTGGTCACTCTTCAGTGTAATTTATACTTCTGTGTTGAATCGATGGCATAGCCTCTGCGTAGCCCCGTACCCTACGACGTCACCTAGACCGTAGCCTGACCTGCACCTCCTCAAAAATGTAACTACACAACAAGGCGACATGGACCGTAATGACTGTGATTGGTCGGCTGGGTAGCCTCGCAATGCATCCGAAAAGTGTCCCGTGCTTTGAAGTAACTTTTACTAGCAACCAGAACAGCAGCTTTAAAATGGTGGATCAATATATTTTACCTCCACAAACTGAGCGAAATGACTTGTTTCGCTGTCAGAATGTGATCCATTCAGTCAATAACATTTGAAAAGGCTATACCAGCCGCGCGTATCCAATTTTACCCCGATTCACATTAGTGGAGGGCTAAACCGGAAGTTTGCCTGCTCAGCCGGCAAAAGTCAGCACAGGGAACACTGTAGTGCTACCGCCAACTAGCGTTTGGCAGTGTAATTGCAGAATCACTGAGACACCGACGCACAAGGATAAATGCATGGCTACATGCGTAGCCTACGGCGTAGCTACGCACGTAGACCCTACGCAGCAGTGTAAATTGGCCATTAAGCCTGACTGAAATTAATCAAGGAGGTCATTCTGTGAGAGGAATTCTGAGACCTGCTTGACAACCGCCCTTTTAAAGTTTTGGATAGAAATGGTAGAAGTAAAACTGTCTGATAGTTCTCAACTATTTGTTTAAAACTTTATCTGTGAAGAAGGAGACAAAGGTATCGATGGACAGGTTTGTGGCAGAGGAGAATTTAATAGAGATTTAAAAGTGAAAAATCATTTCTGTGAGTCAGTGGCACTGATTCTGTCATTATAGAGCACAGTTATGACAGCTCTAATACTGGCTGAGAAGAAGGATAGAAGTGTTTGGTCGCCCTTGAGGTTGGCAGGGTCTTTGGTTTTTCACCATTTACTCTCAGCTGCTCTGAGATCGGTACCCAGCAAATGGATCATATAGATTAGCCACAGGTGGGGCCGGTTAAACCAAAACTGTGCCAACGATTTGGTCACATTGAGAAGACGAACCAACGAGGCAACACTGGAAGAAGAGTTCTTCTGTGACTGTACAAACTGGAGTATTTTTAAATCTGCACCCACAGACTTGAATAAACTCACACTGTGACACTGTGACATCTTACATCAATTTTCGTGTGCCGACTGAGACCATCCAATACAACATTTACAACCAGGCCAGAAACACACTGACAAAATAGGTCAAAGCAGCAAAGAGGAGCCACTCCAATGGCCCTGCGTCAATGTGGACAGCCCTGAAGGACATCCTCAACTACAGGTGACCATTCCCCTCCACTGTGGATAACCACCAACTGGCAGACAACCTGAATGTGTTATTGTGTAGACTTGATAAGCCCACATTTACACCCATCTCCCGCAACAACATCAAACAGGCACCCTGCCAGCCCTCCCCACTGACACCCCACCTGCACTCAGGATCTTTGATAAGGGTGTGTATCAGCTCTTTCTGAGATTGAAGATCAGGCATGCATCAGGACCAGACAGAGGCTGCGTCCGAAAAGTCAAAATAATCTCCTTTCCTAACCACCTTTCCTTGACCTCGATGGAAAACGTCATGGGGTCAAGGAGAAATGTGAAGGAATTCTCCTTCACATTTCTCCTTGACCCCATGACGTACCCCATAAGCACTTAGGAAAAGAGGACCGCGGGGCTCAGAGAATCCGATTTCTCTTTTCTAGGCGATGAAATTATGTGACGGCGGGTGTTACTTGACGTGACCTGCCGTGATGAAACTACAATGTTCAGAAGATGGACTACAAAAAGCGCATCTCTCACACTTCACCCCGTGTTGTTTTAATGCAGGCCACCTAAAGGTGGACAACACAGTGAAATATATTACTTCATAAACAAGATATCAAAAAGCCCGACCAGTCACAAAATAATGGAAAGGGTTGTCACATTGAGAATGCTTGCTCACACTCCTCCTGCCCATATTTATCAACATGAATCCCGATTATTGTTTGTAAACACAGTGTTTCACACTGAATGACGCAAAAGTGGAGAGAGAGGGAGAGAGAGAGGAGGACCGACTGAGCGAGAGGAGGTGCTGAGCGAATATATGCACTACACATTTTTGATTGTAAGAAAACGCAGTGATAACGTGGTGGGCCGCCAACAAATACATCAAGTGTGTGGGAAACACACTACATTACATTACTTTAGGTCATCCAGCTTGATCATTGCCTTTATTAAGGCGAGGATGTCAGTATCTGTGACTGAAGTAAAATCAATTGATGATATTGCTGAAGGCTGGAAATACATAGTGTGAGCCTAAACGCTGCAACATTATCCTCACTTTGATCATGTTACAAGACTAATAACACAGCTTGCATGGGCCTCAGTTATTGTTGACAGTTCAACACATATGCATATTAGGGAGTTATGGCATAAGAGAGAAAATGCTTAAACTACTACTACAGCAAAGCCAAAAGAAAACCAACCAAAATAAATAAATAAATTGTGAGAGTCTTATTCAAGTATAATAATGTGCGTCTGTATTGCAAAGATTTTGCTAAACACCAAACACACCAAGTTTGCTTATTGCAGGAGCCTGGGCAACAGCATGCACCTGAGAGGAGGGAGGGGCCAAAGGCACAAAAGTGTTGTTTTCCTATAGGCTGTGCTCTCCTTTTAGGCAGCCTTGATATAATATCCTCATGGCCTTCGCACCTTTTGAGTTAGGTTTGGGTTTCTACCTGTTACAACACTCACACACATACTTTCATGCATCCACACATGCCCCACACAATTGACGGCATCCATGTCACCCCACTCCACTTTATTTCCCTATTATTAAATTAATTTATTTGGATTTTGGAACTTCTGTGTGTGTGGTCTCCCTGAGGCAAATTTGTCACAATCACTATAATATCAGCCTTCCATCTGCAGTTTAGTGTCAACACAACTTTCACATCATATTAATAAAAGTAAAAAAAGATGTCTGACCTCAGAGTCTCCAGTCTACAGTGTGGACTCTCCAGAAAACCACACAGCAGCTTCACTCCTGAATCCTGCAGCTTGTTTCCACCCAGCTCCAGCTCTCTCAGATGGCAGGGGTTGGACTTCAGAGCTGAGGCCAGAGAAGCACAGCTGATCTCTGACAAACTGCAGCTCCACAATCTGAATAAAGAATAAATTATGTAACTTTAGAAGACAATGTTCCTGCTTGGAATCATTCAGGATTCATAATCTTTTCAGAGCTAGGAAGGTTTAGAGTGTTTAAGTTTATAAAATGGAAACTCCAAACACCTGAACCCAACAGGATACAGGTTCAAACTGTAAAATACAAAGCAGTAAAAAGAGCTCTCATTAATATTAATGAAAACGTGCTGCTATTTCAATAAAGACGTGACTTCACCTCTTAAACTCTGCAGCTCCACCAGTGGCTCCATCGATAAAAACTCATGTTGTGCAGCCAAACACAAATAAAAACCCATAGAAACTGAATTAAGATTCGACTCAAGACCTCAAAGTTTCCAAAGATGCCAAATATGTCAGGAGGAATTTGGGAGAAATGGGAACAATAGACATCCACAATATTTCTTTTAGGAATAGTGGAGTCAAAAAATCAAAGAATCTTCAGTTTAAACTATTCAGTCAGTATAAGCATTATACAGCTTCATAACAATGTTGGAAAAGCAAATATTTTATTATTGTCTGATAGTAGAAACTGAGATTTATTTATTCATTGTATTTATGGATTTTACCATACTTTTTTAAAAACAAAAACATGAGTTCAGGAGGTCCAGAGTGAACTATCCAGTCAAGAGTTTTTTAAGGTTAAAAATCATTGGACTTAACCACTGAAGAAGAAAATAGACTTTAGCATAAAGATACTCAGTGTGGATCATTATATCAGCCTTATGTCTGAAGTCTAGTGTCACCAAAACTTTTACATCATATTAATCTCAGCACAGAAGTAAAAAATTGTGTCTGACCTCAGAGTCTCTAGCGTACAGTGTGGACTCTCCAGAAAATCACAGAGCAGCTTCACTCCTGAATCCTGCAGCTTGTTGTCACTCAGGTGCAGCGCTCTCAGATGGGACGGGTTGGACTTCAGAGCTGAGGCCAGAGAACCACAGCTTATCTCTGAAAAACTGCAAATACTCAATCTGAAAGAAGAAGAAATGATGGAGTTAAAAATCCATTAATAATCCAATCAGATGTGTTCAGGATTAAATGTGTAGCTCAACACTACTATGTCCTAATCAATTCTCTTCTCATTTTAGCTTTTTTTTTTTAGCTTTCCCCTAAAATGAGAATAGCATTTTTCATTGTGTTATTGTGGATCATCATAATGTCAGCCTTCTACAGACATCATCAAAATGTCAGTACAACAACAACTTCTAGGGTCTCCAGATGTAGTATAGGAGCCAGAGCCTTTAGCCATCAGGCACCTCAGCTGTGGAATCAGACCCCTGTCTGGGTTCGGGAAGCAACCAACATTTCCATTTTAAGAGTAGGCTAAAAACCTTCCTTTTTAGTAAAGCTTTTAGCTAGGGATGGTTTTCTGTATTTTGTGAGAAGGCTTATAGTTTGGGCTAGGGTATTTTATGAATTTTTATACATTTTAATGATCTATTTTATTTTATTGTATATATTATTAGTTTTATAATTGTCTATTTTATTGTTGTTTTTTAATGTGTTTTTCTTATGTATTTCTTTTTCTGCAAATTCTGTGTCTCTGTTTTCTGTAAAGTGTACTGGGACCACACAGCTGGTGATTTTATACTTTAATAAATTTTAAACTTAAACTTAAACTTAAACATTCATACACCTATTCCTGTCAACGCAGATTAATAACACTTTGCTGATCTCAGGCCAGTCTGGAAATAGAGAGAAAAACTATAATAATCCTTTATACAGCTGCATTTGGAAATGCTTTTATCTCCCTGTGTCCCTCTATATACATATATAAACTGTATATATGTGTAGGGGCTTGTTTTATAATGTCCGTGGGGTCCAAAAATTGGGGTTCACTATACTTGTGCGGTCCTACAGCTTTGTGGGGTCCAAAATGTTGGACACCACAAGTTTAAAGGGCTGTGGATTTGGATTAAGACCTTGTTATACAGTTAGAATTGGGTTAGTGGTTGGTTTAGGCTTAAGAGTAGACATGTAGTTTAGATGTTATGGTTAAAGAAAGGAGCCAGGGAAGGCAGGAATGAATGGTCCCCACAAAACTGACTAAATTTAATACAAGAAACATGAAAATATGAATAAAGAAAAATTACAACTTTATGGAGATAAGATATGTGTGAACATAAATAAGGTCCAATTGTTAATGAAATATCCAAGATATACAGTAGTAACAGAGAGTCAATGAACTGACCCCAGAGTCTTCAGTCTACATTGTGGACTCTCCAGAAAATCACACAGCAGCTTCACTTCTGAATCCTGCAGGTTGTTGTCACTCAGCTCCAGCATTCTCAGATGGGAGGGGTTGGACTTCAGAGCTGAGGCCAGAGAAGCACAGCTGATCTCTGACAAACTGCAGCGAATCAGTCTGAATAAAGAATAAATTATGCAGATCAAGATCCATATACAATCCATTCAGATGTGTTCAGGTTTTGTAGTGTGCAGTAAGTAAGTAAGTGTGTAGTGATATAAGAGAGTGAGTGACTTTGTCATTGTGTTTTTGTGGATCATCATAATGTCAAAATGTCATTCTTACACCTATTCATGTCAACACAGATTAATAACATGCTGTCGATCTCAGGCCATCAGATCTCTGTCATCTAGAGCAGTAAACTATTTAATATCCGATTATCATATTGATTTATTTTGTTTTACTTAAACCCGGCTAAGTCATAAAGATTATTTTAGCCTAAATGAATCCACTTCCGATACAAGAGACTTTATTTTCCCCATGGGGAAATTTGTTTTTGGCTCAGTAATGTTGCATTCATTAGAAACAATAAATTTCCAATCTACAATCAGACATCTGAAAACATATTTAAACTTTTTATCCAGTGGCCAACATGGCACATGGCCACATATTGCACATGTCACTGTATCTCCATTGCTCTCCTAACATTATTCCATGGAATGAAGCCGTATGTAGCACATGGACTATTTTGGGGGTCTGTATCAAACTCTTGATTCCATTTGTTATAGTGTCCCACTCTCCTGGTCAATATTCAGAATTTTTATCTCAATTCCTAGAATTTTTGTTGTTTGTTTAAGTGACTTTAATATTCATGGGGATGTCAACAATGAAATGTAGTGATTCCATCGGTGTTTAATTCAATACTATGTCTAAATATACAGTTGCAGCTCAAAACTCGTGAAAAAGATTTTTTTTTTAGCTTATTTAAGTAAAAAACTGAAACTTCATACATTCATTGCACAAAAAGTGAAATATTTCTGGCATTGGTATTGGCATCTGGTATATGTAAAGTGCAATGAGGTCACTTCTGTTATTAGCTGGCGCTATATAAAAAATGCTAAGAAAGATTTTCCCCCCAAAATCCAAAATGGACAATGGAATAAATATGATTTTATAAATAAGACTTTAAGTAAATACATAGCTTTACAGAGCTCTTTAACAGCTGTCCCAGCACTTCTGATACTTCTTTCAAACTACAGATTTAGACTCTCCTCATCATCACTGTCATCTCAATCAACATTCAGTTGACTGACTGTGAGCTTCATCCTCAGTCATCTTTATAACTGGATAAAATGTGAGAGGAATGTTCTCTTCATCTTAAATGTATGTACCTTCCAGTACAAATATAGTTTATTATTTATGCTCCTTTTTTGAAGGAAACATCATCACATGTTGTGTCACCTGTTGTTAGTGACACACCCGACATGATATGTCAGACACATCTATTTGGAAATGTACTTCTGTCAGCTTCTATATATGAGTTTGAGTGTGTTTTTATGTCTGTGTGAGAGAGAGATGGGCTTTATGTAAAGAAGTTCCTGTAAAATGCTGTGTTCTACATTCATGCTGTATGTAAAATTTTAAATGTTGATTTATTTTTGCAGCACATTGTAATAAATCCTACAGTTTCCTTAATAACACAAATCCAGGTACAGACTAAATTCAGAGCTAACTATTCAGACGGACATGTTGTGATTTGTGCTCAGACAAACCCAGAAAACAAGAGAACTGAAGGTAAATTTTGTAAAGGATTTAAATTTGGTACATATGCACTGGACAAGAGTAGAATCCATGAGCTTACACCAGAGTCTCCACTCTACAGTTTGGACTCTCCAGTCCAGCAGACAGCAGCTTCACTGCTGAATACGGTATGTTGTTGTGACTCAGGTCCAGCAGTCTCAGATGGGATGGGTTGGACTTCAGAGCTGAGGCCACAACTTCACAGTGAGTCTCTGAGAGTCCACAGAAGGAAAGTCTGTGATGACAGATAAAGTATAATAAAATCTGACACTTTATTGTATAAATAGACATTGTCGCAAAGCACATTAACATGACCTAGCTTTAAACTTGAGCTCCTCCTGTCCGTGTGTCAAAGTGTTCTTGATCAACATAATGAACCACAAATTACTGCTTTAGACAAAAGTGTCTGCTAAATGACTGTAATGTGAACATGTCATATTGTGTAACATGTCATATTGTGATTAACAGGGTGCTGTGATTTTTGTTTATTAAACTTTATTATAACAATTCAATGAGCTGTCAAATCACTGCAGGTTGTAACTACACTTGTATGTATTCGTGCAGTCATGTGCTTGTGTGTGTGTGCTTATGTCAGTCCATCTGTTTTTATCTCCCATAAGTAAAATTAATGACGGCAAAAGATGTATTATATTTATACGTAGCTTTGATTTGAAATGGCACAGAAAAAATGCATTGTCTGACAGTTTGTAAAGTGTAAACAATAATTTCTCACATTAAGATGGAAAAAGTAAGAAATTGGTACAAACTTAAAAAAAACACTCTCTATCCGTGAACATTACTAAAGTAGCTTTGAAATTTACCAGTTTACAAACCAGTCCATTCAAATTGTACCAGAGAGAGAGCTTCTGTAGTTTTTATAAATCAAACTCATTTCTAATTTAGCAAAACATGAAGAAACATTCATTGTTAGAACTAAACAATGTAAAGTCACAACTTTCATTGGATGAGGATGGAAAGAGAGACATTCTGTTCGATCTTCAAGATGCAGGATGGCCTCCCCTCACATTCTCTCAAATCAAGAAATAATTCTGGATATTGTATATATTGTGGAAATGGACAGAAAAGGCCTTCATATGAAACAGCTCAGAAAACTGCTGAGAAATTAATAGCAAGTATGAAAGCTTTAATAAAATAAAACAAATTGAAACTATAATTCCAGCAGATCACATAGTACATGTCTGTGTGTATGTGTATGAAAAATAACAATAAACAGACACATTATAGAAACAGAGTGCACACACTGTATCCACTGTAAGAAGTAAAATACTGTGGAGATAAAATGATGACTGTCAAAAACATTTTCAGCACAAACTCTTAATTCCTCTTGTTTTCCTGCTGGATTTGTATCAAGCCTCCATCACCCAAAGAAAGATAGTTAGATGATGATAGCAGAAATGTGTCACTAACTTGATATATATCTGTAGTGTAATACTACACTATTAGTAGAGTGGTAACACGTAGAATTATTTCAATAAGTAGATTTAGTTTAGTAAACTTTTATAGTGTGGAGGTGTTTATATTGTGCATAATATATATGTCTGTAATGTGTGTATCTTTATTGTAATACTGATGGTTTCAGCTTTATGTTGCTTAATAATTATAATCACATCTGGACTTACAGAGCCTTTCTGCAGTTCCTCACAGCTGGAATCAGTTTCTGTCGTCCCTGGTATGATGTGTTGTACTTCTTCAGGTCAAGCTCATCCAGAACCTCCTCTGACATCTGCAGCATGTAGGCCAGAGCTGAGCAGTGGATCTCAGAGAGTTCCTTCTCTGATCTGTTCTCTGACTTCAGGAACTCTTGGATCTCCTGATGTACTGAGTGGTCATTCATTTCCATCAGACAGTGGAAGATGTTGATGCTTCTGTCAGGGGAAGTTTTTGTGTTCATCTTCTTAAGGTTGTTGATGGCTCTCCGGATGATTTCTGGACTGTTGTCTGTCTGACCCAGCAGGCCTCCTAAGAGTCTCTGGTTGGACTCCAGAGAGAGACCATGAAGGAAGCGAACAAACAGGTCCAGGTGGCCATTTTTACTTTCAAGGGATTTCATTATTGCTCCCTTCAGGAAGATATCCAGGGTTGAATCAATGTGTTTTTTTCCCAGGAAGTCCTCCAGCACCTTTGTGTTCCTGTTGGTGTAACAGTGGAACATGTAGACTGCAGCCAGAAACTCCTGAATGCTTAAATGAACAAAGCAGTAGACTGTTTTCTGGAAGATCACACTCTCTCTTTTGAAGATCTCTGTACAAACTCCCGAGTACACCGAGGCCTCTGCAATATCAAGACCACATTGCTCCAGGTCTTCTTGGTAGAACATGAGGTTCCCTTTCTCCAGATGTTCAAACGCCAGCCTCCCCAGCTTCAGAAGAACCTTCCTGTCAGCCTCCGTCAGCTCCTGTGGACTCGTCTCATGTCCCTCATCGTACTTCTGCTTCTTCCTCTGTGTCTGAACCAGCAGGAAGTGTGAGTACAGGTCAGTCAGGGTCTTGGGCAGCTCTCCTGTCTGGTCTGTAGTCAACATGTGCTCCAGAACTGTAGCAGTGATCCAGCAGAAGACTGGGATTAGACACATGATGTGGAGGCTCCTGGAGGTCTTGATGTGTGAGATGATTCTGCTGGACAGCTCTTCATCACCGACTCTCCTCCTGAAGTACTCCTCCTTCTGGGCGTCAGTGAAGCCTCGTACTTCTGTTAACCTGTCAACACATGAAGGAGGGATCTGATTGGCTGCTGCAGGTCGGGAAGTTATCCAGACGAGAGCCGAAGGAAGCAGATTCCCCTTGATGAGGTTTGTCAGCAGCAGGTTGACTGATGACTTCTGTGTGACATCAGACACAACCTCATTGTTGTGGAAATCCAATGAAAGTCTGCTTTCATCCAGGCCGTCAAAGATGAACAACAGTTTACAGACAGCGAGCTTCTCTGCTGGGACCTTCTGTAATGTTGGATGGAAAACATGGAGCAGCGTGAGAAGACTGTACTGCTCATCTTTGATCAAGTTCAGCTCCCTGAATGAGAGCAGAACCAGCAGACTGACATCTTGGTTTTCCAAGCCCTCTGCCCAGTCCAGAGTGAACTTCTTCACTGAGAAGGTTTTTCCAACACCAGCGACGCCGTTCATCAGAACCACTCTGATGTGTTTCTGTTGGCCAGGTAAGGCTTTAAAGATATCGTGGCACTTGATTGGAGTTTCATGGAGGGTCTCCATCTTGGAAGCTGTCTCAAGCTGCCTCACCTCATGTTGGGTATTAACCATTTCACTCTGTCCCTCTGTGATGTAGAGCTCAGTGTAGATCCTGTTGAGGAGGGTTCCACTTCCTGTTTCATCACTTCCTTCAGTCACACATTCACATCTCCTCCTCAGACTGATCTTATGTTCATCTAAAACCTCCAGCAGACCACCACTCACTAAAAAAATGATCAATATAAGAATATAAAGAAAAGTAAAGGTTAAAAAGACAAGTTTTGTGGAACATTAGAAAATGCTCCCATTTCTCTCAGCCTCTGACTGTGTGTTGGTATATGAGGCAACAGGCTGGGCCTCAGCATCTTGTCTGCAGCTCTTCATCTGATCAGCTCACTGTGGCCGTTCCTTCATTCCTGCAATATTTAAAACTGATCCACCAAACAAATCCTAAATATGTTCAGATCTTGTTGTGTAGACCTGTTTTATTCAAAAGCACAGCTAACAATGCACCACAAATCTCTGACAAATGCATTCATTTCCTGTCGCTGCTTCACAATAACAGCCTCCTTCTGGTTTGCCAGTAGAAAGCTTTATGTGAAGCAGCAGTAGGAAATGAACAAAGCTCTGATATGACTTAAGTAACAGTTAAAAAGCTGACATCTGTGCCTTCAAACAGGAAAACAGCAGTGAGAGTAAACTGCAAACCACAGATCCAAAGAAGGTTAAAGTCAAGGGCAACTGGACTTGGTTGAAGATACTTGAAGACGTTTGTCCCTCATCCAAAGGACTTCTTCAGTTCTCAAACCACAGAGATTCAGTAAGAAAGTACAAATGTACTGGCAGATACAAGGTACATTTATTTGTCATTCTACAACACAGGTTTGCACAACGAAATTCAAGATGTAGAGAAAATTGCTACAAAACAATTATTTTCTATGGTGAGGTGAACACAGAGAAACTTTTAAAAACAGAGCTTTCTCTCTGATAGGCACGTATTGATCCAATCAGTTTAGCTCCAGATGTGGCTTTGGTTTGAGGGAAGAGACCATCTCAGGTTGGCCTCTGTAAATGACCACTAGCATAGTTAGGGTTTTTGAAGCTGGTCAGAGTGAGTTCCTCACCCAGGACGCTCTTGTCATCGGTACCTAGACTACTGCAACTCACTCCTGGCTGGTCTGCCTCATGTGCCATCAGACCTCTGCAGCTAATACTGAATGCCGCAGCCCGGATGGCATTTGAACCAGGTTTTCTTCAAAACTGCACTGGCTACCGGTGACTTTGGTCTGATTTCAGACACTGGTACTTGCCTACAGTGCTTCGAATGGCTCTGGGTCATCCTACATCCAGGACATGATTAAACCAAACATCCCAATCTGTCCACTACGCTCCGCTACTGCCAATCAGCTTTCTACTCACTCACTACAAGAGGGGCCCAGCTACCACTCAACAAAATCCCTTCTTTTAGCTTTAGCAGAAAGTGAACACAGCTTCAGCCTGAAAACTCGTTAAATGTAGAACTTGAAGCTGCAACTTATTTGATGAAGCTGATGTACTACATGATCCCTGCAACTTTTGGTTGTATCCACATGGTTGAATGCACTTATTTTAAGTCTCTCAACAAATAATGTAATGAAATATAGCAGGTTACATTGTTAAGGTGTCCAGTCTTACTTTGTACAGAGCTGCTCTGACTGGCTGTCTGCAGTCCAGCTCTTGTTCTGGATCTTTCTCCACACTGGGGACAGGAGGAGTCTCCTGGTGAAGCAGACTGGTCCCAGTGTGAAGTGATGCACTGTTTGCAGAACCAGTGTCCACAGCTGGTAGAGACTGGATCCTTTAGGACGTCCTGACACAAAGAACAGCAGGACAGCTGCTCCTCCACAGAAACATGACTCCTCTTCCTCTCTCTGTGAAGACATTTCATTAGAACTAAAATGATTTGTTGCTTGTTGTTGAAAAATATCAAGATTTGTCCGACACTGTGTAGAAACTCAGATGGTCACAGAGAACAGTGTTGTTACTTTTCTGTTTGAATTGCTTTATTCCTTTTATTTAAAATTTCTTGCTTTCATAAACACTAATTAACTGCTATTCCTGTCTGACTGACTTGTTTTTTTGTGATTAACATTTTTATCAAAGCAAATAAACCAAACAGTTTACATACAGTTTAGAACACCTGCAAAACCCAGTACGGCAATAGGTACAGTTAATTGACAGAGACATAAGCAAAGAGAGGAGAAATGACATAAAAAGATAAGCATTCCCAAAAAAGACACATGGAGTTAAGAAAATAGAGAAACTAAATAAAGTTTAAAAAAAACTTAAATAAAAAGGGAGAGGGGGTCTGCCTGACACATATTTGAGTTACCATGGAGCCTAATATTCATAGCTCAACAGGATTTTGTTTCCCAAGGAGGTCCCGGATAGACACATTAATCTCTGACTATGCCTGGACAGTTGTGGGTCTGGCCTTAGATAATGTCAAGTCTCCTAATAATCGTCAGCTAACCCAAAATGCCACAGCTCACGTACTGACTACAACTAGGAAGACAGACCACATCCGTTTCGGCCACTCTGCACTGGCTACCACTGAATTTTAAATTCTTACCTACAAAGCCCTAAATGGTCAGGCATCTTCCTGTCTCAAAAAACAAGTTAAAAAGTTGTTCATTTGTCATTTTACAGCACAAAGTTGGATAACAAAAGGAAAGTTTGTATTCTCCTCATGCAACACAGACAGATATTATATATGGCAACAAAATACAAAATAATACAACATATATAGATATATACATATACATATAGACTACACGTATACACCCTGAACATTCTGCAGTGCATTTTTTGATTTTGCATCCGGCGTGAATGTAAACAGCAATAAGATGATAGTATGGTTTCATCTTCACATAAAAAGTCTAACATTTGGGAAACAGTGTCCATCTTTACTGTGTTTGATCACCAAGCATGATCGAGTCCACCTCCTCTGATCTTGACGGATACTTGGGCTAACAACTCAGAACTCAAGCCTGTGTGCTTGATCCAGGAAGATCTGTAAAGATGTGGGTAAAACAGTCTCTAGTTCCTATTGCTTGGCCAACATGAGTCCCATTTTGTCCAGACCGAAACTTTAGTAGCAGCCTTAAGTCAAAGCTGGGCCAATATTGCTCCTCTCCCTACTCTCTTTACTCTCCTCTGAGCCATCACCGTGGTGCCTGTTCCAATTGTTTGGGCAGTGTGGATTGTGGTCTGCTGCTCTTTAATCCAAAATCCTTCCTTTTCCAATGACTGTATTTCTGTCATAGGTAGGCTATCAAGTATTTGGGGAAAAAAAACGGGGGAAAAAACTGATGAAAAACAAAAGTGTAGCGAAGTTTGAAGGAGCTACCGGCTGCTACATCTACATGCGCTGCCGGTTGTCATGGTAAGCTCAAAGAGCTCATACTGTATCTACATACTACCCCACTAGAGCACTGCACTCCCAAAATGCAGAGCTACTTGTGGTGCCTAGGGTTTAAAAAAATGTTTTCTTCATTTATTATTTTGGTTTTTTTACCCTTAAGTATTGTATTTTGTGTTTTTATCATACCTTGTGTATTTTCTGTACCTTCTGTATTTTATATTGTCAAGTGTTTAAATAAACACTTTAAATAAACTTGAATTGACATATGTCTTTCACAGTTTTACAGTCACTTTGGGCAGCTTACTTAGTTAGGTTTTAACTAGACTAGTTAGAAGTGGTCTAAATAATTGTGGTAGACCAGCAATCTCCCACACATTGCATGTAACAGTGGTGTCACAGGTTTAAGTCCAGTCAGTTTCCTTTCAAATATGTCACTCCCTTTATGTTTCCTGTCACTCTCTGCTGTCAACTATTAAATGAAGGCATATATACGTATATTCTAAAAAGAGAAGTGGTCCAAATCTACATTTGACATACTTTTTAATCCACTGATAGCTTTTCCATCAGTGCTGCCCATGGATGTCTTTTCTTGACCTTTAGGAAAAATATGATGGAGAGAATCTCAGCACAATGGTCCACTTACTAATGATTCAAATCAAAGTGTTAACTTCTTACCATTCCAGTTAAATTTTCCCAAAACACATACCCAAAATATACCAAAGTAAATTCAGAATCAATATCAGTGCTACTGAAATTAAGTAATATAAGTTTTAACAAACTAAAGTAGAAGGTTTTTTTCTTTCTGTTTAAAAATGTTTGCAAACACATCCATGCAGACATCTACAGCTAGGACTTATTAGCTGTAAAACACGTGGGGCCATAGCATGAAGCCTTACAAGTTAAAATTTTACTGAAATACCATAAAAAATTTACAGTTTGGTATATTTGGTTTCTTTAAGCTTCACATCACTCCATATATAGCTGGCAGCTTTACAGAGATCTTTTTTGCTGGCTGACCATGAACTTCCTAGTTGAAGCTAGATTATCTTTATTTTCTGCTGCTGCAGCAGTCCCTAGGTATTTATTGATGGATTAATGTGTTTTGGACTAAATGTTTTTACTGGATTGGATCATCTTGGCCTTTAACAATGTAACAAGAACATTTTTGTAGAAATGTTATCGATCGGTGAATTACCATGAGGCTTCATAGATGAGTTGTATCAATTTTGATTGTTGGTGGGTGGTCTGACAGAGGGGCTGATATGCGCTGTTGTGACTGCATCTAGAAATGGTTTGCATTGGTCGAATCCCAAGGATATTAGCTTTTCAACATTGTAACATTGTACCAATTTAAAGATTCGGTGTGTAATAATTACAAGGAGGTATTGACGGAAATGCAATTTAATGTACATAACATTTGTTGTTATGTTGTTGTTATGTTGTTTCAGTGGTGTATAAAGACCTTACATATTGAAACGCTATGTTTTAATTACCTTAGCATGAGCCATTTACTGTATATCTACATACACCTTGGGTCCTCTTACATGAAAATCGCTATTTTGTGCTGCCATGTTTCTCCAGTAGCCCAAACAGACAAACTGATCAACAGAGAACATTTCGTCACTACGCTGAAAACATACAAAAAAGTAGAAAGAGAAGAAGTAGTAGTAGTAGTCGTCTGGTTTGTTAGAAGTAAGAAATGAAGGGATATTTGGGAAAATGGAGGACAAAATGTATTATTTAGCATAGGAGCTGACAAAGCGTGTCCACCACTGTAGCTTCTCTTATGCGCTTGTAAAGGGAGGTGTGAGCGTTTGGTTGCATTTCACAACCCTCACCACTAGATGCCACTAGAACCTGCACATGAACCTTTAAACAACGCACATACCAAAAACCACCCCCCAGCCTGATGGGAGTGGTTGTGCCGTTGGGATGTTAAGAGGTAATTGAGGTAAGTTTTCTAGAAATGCTTTTCACCAACATGTTGCAAAATTATGGTTTTAGCTAGGGCTGGACAATTAATGAAAAGTAATTAAAACCAAAATTTTGAACCTCTAACCGATGTTTCCAGACGAAATTCTGAAGCCAAGGGGAGATGTTAGCCACTTCTAACCACAGCCTTCACTTTCCAGCAGTTAGGGAAACAAAAGACAGACTTTAATTAATGTACACACTGTGACCTAAACTGTAGGCCAACATTTACTGCCAGACTGACAACTTACTCATTCACTTTCTACCATTTGCTCTCTCACATTCGCTACTCACACACATTACACTGCCCTTAAAAGACCTAACTTTGCTGCTGCTATAACAACACCTGTCCCGTAGATATCCTTTGAAGAATGAGTAGCCAAGCGTTGAGTGTTACCGTGCTTGCACGGTGTGCGAGTAAAATCATTAGTTTACATTTGTGAATTGAAAAAATATCTCACCTTTAATTGTTAAGCATATTTATAGTACAAACCTTGCCAGTGAACAATGAGGGCAAAAAACGAAACAAAATAATTGTTCATTAATCAGAATCTAGGTAAAATGTACAATTGATCGTGACTTTGATTTTAGGTAATATCGTTCAGCCCTAATATGAACTGATCATCATAACATAACAATCATAACAACTCAATATTTTGAGGACAAATATGATAAATAAAATTACAAATTTGAAGCAGATTCTTTCAGGTGTATTATCTTCCATCAAGGTCAGTCTATAGTAAAAAGACAGACTCTTACTTTGTATCTGTTAGTCCAGGTTCATTACTGAAGTCTGGAGGATCGAACACTTTGGACCGGTCACTCTTCATAGACAGATAGCTGGATACTGCAGATTCTGCTCTCTGTCTGTCTCTGCAAATACCAAGATGTTTTATTGATATAACATGAATCCTTGATAAATTAAAGCCATTTAAGAAGCTCTTCACACACAAACTGCTGCTGTCAATAATCAGAAGGTTTAGTTTTAGAAAGTTTGTATTAGTTCTCTTAGATCAGATTACAGCTTCAGGTGACTGACAGCTGTCACAGATACTAAGAAATACAAATAATTTTTTGTTTATGTTAATATACTACCAAGTCAAAAGTATTCACACTCAGTGAATTGTGTTACACACACACACACTGAATGAGGGCAACTTTCATTATTTTATTACACTGCAAACACAGTAAATGGTCAGTCTTGGATGAATAACGGCTCTGCTTGTTTGCAGCTATACGTTTGATGTTTTGGTACAAACAAGTTACAATGTTTAAGTTAAACTAGACTTTGATAAATGTGTTTTCTGTATTTGTTGCACTTGTATTCACAACTCTAAGGGCACATTCAATTTAGAGTTTAAATGTAGTGGATATTTTAATTACAATATCTGGGTAAGTGAAGCCAATTTGTTAATCTATGTGAAATCCACTTCTTTCTTTGAGCATGACGCCTAATGTTACTCTACATTTGGCAAACAGCAAACGCAGAATGAGTTTGTAGTGTTCTTTTACTTTGTGTCTGAGGGTCCAGGTTTATTACTGAAGTCTGGAGGAAAATGTTTGGACCAGTCACTTTTCATAGACAGACAGCTGGATACTGCAAACTCTGCTCTGTCCTCCTCTTCCTCCACACAAACACTCATCTTCTGGACTTCAGTAAGTCTGAGAGGTAACACACACACACACACACACACACACACACACAGAGAAAATAAAAACAGTCAGAACTCCACCTGGGCCCCGTTTCAGAAACCGGGATTATTGAAATACTTTGAGTAGCCTATGTTAAGCCTGAGATGAGGGAAAATCTGGGTTTTATGTTTCAGAGAGCGAGATCACATTAACCTCAGATCAGTAACTCCAGCAACTGATGCTGTGAGAAGTTATCACAAGATAAGTTAGAAAACAGTCAGTTTCTCACTAACTCCTCCCCTCCTGCGGAGCCTGAAGCGGCTCTCTGACACATCGTTTCATTTCCTCATTCATAGCCTTCTGTCAATATCAAAGCACATATCTGAATGCATTTACATGACCACACATGATTTACGCGAATGACTAATCATTCATGCAGCACACCTGGACACACTACCGCTCACTGAACAGATCTCTGCCTCACTGCCACAAACAACTGTCTCCACCTGCTGGCATGTAAAGCCGTCTGCTCCCAGCGCTGTTCCAAAGACTTCTATTCCTGTCATCATCACGCATAGACCAGTAAACCGAAATGTGCACATCCCACACAGAAATAATAGTTAATGCAACTAACTTTTTAAATATGGCCACTTCTTTTAACTTCAAACAACATGTCAAAGGACAAACACATAACCATGGTCATACACTGGACTTGGTTTTTACCCTGGGTGTCAGCATTTCCTCTGTGGAATTAGTGGACATGACCATATCTGACCACAGATGTATTGTTTTTAGCTGCGATTCACCTGTTACTCATGCCGCCTCTCCAAGCTCTGTGTGTTCTCAAATCTTTAATGAACAAAGTGTTTCAAAGTTTTGCGCATTCTTTCAGAGCCAAAGCCAACACCTGTCTGATTCCAACACCAACAATCTGGTCGATCACTTCAATCATATCTGCTTGTCGTCACTAAATATTACTGCTCCTCTAAAGGTTAGGCCTACGTCTAAAGCTAGTAAGCAACCCTGGATAAATGACAGCAATCGCAGCCTAAAAAGGGAATGCAGGAAAGCAGAGCGCAGATGGAAAAAATACAGTCTCCAAGTCCATTACCTCAGTCTGAAGGATTTATTAATTAATTACAATAACATGGTTAAGGATGCGAGAACACACTATCTGCTTCCCCTTGGACATATTATCCATAAACATGGCATTTCTTTTCATATTTATGCTGATGACACACAAATATACTTGCCCGTCAGATCCACAGACCCTGGAATGCTGAGTTCACTTAACAACTGCCTTTGTGAAGTAAAAAAATGGATGTCAAATAATTTCCTCCAGCTGAACTCAGACAAAACACAAAATCCTGGTCATCGGGTCCCAGCAGATGGCAAATCAAATACTGCCATCTGCTGGTTCCCTAGTAAATCACATTAAGCCTGTGGCAAAGAACCTTGGTGTTTGGTTTGATAGTAATTTAAATTTCGAGCAGCACACCACAAAGCTTGTTCAATCATGTTTTTATCAACTTAGAAATATAGCAAAAATTTGATCTATGTTAACTTTTAAGGACACCGAGACCATTTTACACGCCTTCATCTCATCACGCCTGGATTATTGCAACAGCCTTTTCACCTGTTTAACCCAAAAATCTATTGATCGACTCCAGACTGTCCAGAACTCAGCTGCCAGGCTTTTAACCAAAACAAAGAAATATGACCACATTACTCCTATTTTAGCTTCATTACACTGGCTCCCAGTATGTTTTAGAATTGACTTTAAAATTCTATTGATCACTTTTAAAGCTCTTCATGGCCTCTCGCCTTGTTATATTTCTGACCTTTTAGTCCCATACGCACCAGCACGTACCTTGAGATCCTCGGGCAGAGGTCTGTTGTCTGTTCCAGAGTCTCGACTGAAAACTAAAGGGGACAGAGCGTTTGCTGTCAGGGCCCCGAGGCTCTGGAACAGCCTGCCCGAGGAAATCAGGTCGGCTGAGTCAGTGAACTCTTTTAAGTCCCTTCTTAAAACATACTTTTATAGGAGAGCCTTTCCCGATCTTATTTGACTTTATTTTATCCCTTTTATTTTATTGTATTTTACTAATTTTATATTAATTTTTCATGCTCTTGTTTTTTTTTGTATTATTCTTCACACTTGTTAAAGCACTTTGTAACTTGTTTTTGAAAAGTTAATAAGGATTATTATTATATTATTATTATTATTACATCTTTAAAAACTTTACAATACCTGTTGGAAAGGCTATTAGTTTTTCATCCAAACATGATCTTGAACATGACCGCTTTATGATCAATCTGTCATCCATCCATCCACCATGGATAGATAGTTATTTCCGCACATCGTAGATTTATCCTCAGGACAGAATAAAATCCGTCTTTAACACTGTGACAGTTGCACTGAAAACACTTACTGTGGGCTACATTACTGCAGTAATCACTGTTTAAGCTAATCTGTAAACTAGAAAACTGATCAATGGACAGTAGCCCAATATTACATATTGTAGTCGCACTGATTGGAACATTCCTATCGTGGTTATCATACTGGGTTGACTGTGGTGCAGCTTAAACAAATAGGCCTGAGTTTTTCATTATTTTTCTGAATGTATTTTGACACCATTAATAAAATATGAAATTAGCAAGATTTTACATTAATAAAATCGACGTCTAAAACTTTATAGGCTCAGTTTGAACCCACTGCAAAAAATAAATAAAAAAATGGGCTAACCTACTGGGTGTGACTGTGACTTTACAATCACATGTTTCTGATTAAACTGTCTTATATTTGATCTATAGGCCTACCTATTTTCATAATTAGGTAGCCGATTGCCACGGCATTTAGTCCCGTCGGGTTACAACTTATTAAATAAAGCCTTCCTATTTAAAATCTAATGTAGGAGAACTCCAGCACTTTCATTCATTAAGTGTGAATAAATGATGAATGAGCAACGCTATAGCCAGTAGCCTAATAATGTTAAAGTATTGATCCTTCCTCCACTCCTGTGTTTTAGAGACTATCATGGTCCGCGTTGGCACGCATTCATGTTACTTGCTCCACCCGATTAAAATGGAGGCTCTGCCTTTATTTACCCATTGCCATGGTGAATCGTAGTATCGGAGCTCTATTGATGATGGGGTTTTTTAATCCACACGCACGCGCTTCCATCAGGCTCAACATATGGGTTGATTGAACTAATTCTGATCAGCTCTGGAACCGAAAACTCAGTTTCCCACCTCAGACTCAGTCAACTCAGAACTCTGGGAGTTTGTTCAGCCTGCTTTCTGAAACAGGACACTGGTCCCTTGTCTCGAAATAGCTGTTGGTTTCCATGGTTACTGCAGGTTTAATGTTTTTATTCAGGCAATCACGACTTTGTGTCCACAGATGAATCAAAGCGTTGAGTTCATTCTAACATTTCTTTCCAGAAAATTGACTGGGAGATTTAGACAGTAAAATACTAAAATTCTTGGATTAACACTCACCCTGCCTCAGCCTTCAGTTTTCCTCCTTCTGCTCTGTCCACTCACAATCTAGTCTGAACTGACTGAAAACTTTCAGTTCCAGGTTTCCTGTTCTAATGAAACTCCCTTAGTCAGTGGTTTTCTTCTACTTAATTTTGAGGTTTTAAATCACGTGACTTGTTTCTTCCTCATATTTCGGGCAGTGTAAGATAACATGCTATAGGCTACTTTTTCATTTTTCCCACAGTAGTTACATCTACCAGTAGCCTATTATGTTTCCTCTCTTCCTCCCTTTGCTTTTGTCACCTTCCCTTCGATCTCTGTTTAATAGCCTAATGATGATTTCTGTCACTGAAGCTGCCCATCAATGGCCATGTAAATTAACCCAGTAATTAAGTAACAGCTCTACCCATCTTATTTCGAGTGGCATTCATCCCATTTTGACATAGTGTGTGCTTTTTACCATTTTTTTAAATGCACATGTGCATAATCTCAAAGTCTGATACTGAATATTATTCTTAAATCTCATATCTCCACCCCATCAGCATCATTGCATAGACTGTCACACCAGATTAGACCACTCCCCCCTAGATTATAGAACCCCAGCCCTTATGTCTGTGACGCCCCTTTTTCTCTAAAAACAGTTCCAGAGAGAGCCAATGTGAGTTTAATATTCATTCAGGTTCAGATTCAAATTTGACAGATTGTTTTTTATATTATGCTAGATTCCTGAGTTTGGTTAACTAGGAAGAAAAGAGTGAAAGGCCAGATTTTGGATGCATCAGTTATTATGCAAGGTAAAATTATAACCTTATTAGGGATCCAAGCAGCGAAGCTCCTGGTTCTTCTTCTTTCTTTCTTCTTTTTCTCTTTGGCATGTATGTTGCAAATTCCACCCACTACTCAGGCAAAAAAATGCCCTCATAGACCTCGTGGGGACGCTATAACAATCAACTTTGCATTTTTGCAATTATCTCGAATAAGGCTTTGTTTAGAGTCTTTCATTATTTTAATCTCTGGATTCATCTGCATCTTTGCTTCAATGGTCTTCTGCTCTAAAATGTCAAATTATACAACTTTTCATCACTTTTCTCTAAAACAAATCCCCAGGTGACCCAGTCAGACTTGCTGACTGGTGTTCAGATCATAATATTTTTTATTTGGCACTCTCTTCTTATTTTTCTCTGCCTAAAAGTGTTTGTGCAGCTTAAACTTTAAATCTTGGAAACACAAAATGTTGCAGTTGGGTTCAACATTTCACCCAGTAGTCAGGTACATATGACACTCTCTGATCTCAAGGTGATGCGTTTCCGCAATTATCTCAAAATCCAAATTATTTCACCAACAATACCAACAACATCGATTAAAAATACAGGGTCAGACAAATGGGTAAATAAATACCACAACATTAAAAGTTTAAGTTCAAGTGTGCCTTATGTGCAGACGTTACCTACTTTTTACAGAGTTAAGCAGAGAGATAGCAGAGGGTACAAAGGAGAATTTATATCCACTTGTTTTGGCTGGTGGTTGACTGAAGCGGGAACCATAAGGCAGCTTCTTAAATTCTGCACGCAGGTGGTGAGAACTATCAGACATGATGGATTCTGCCTTCTTAAGCACATGTCTGTTGTACAGTTCAGTTAGCTTTATCTGCTGAATCCCGATGATTTTGCTGCTCACTCTAGTGAACGCGCCCTGATGCCGTCCGGGGAGATACACCGGCGATACACATAGGCGTGAGATAGCCTTGCACAATCACTGACTTGGGTGCTTTCAACGCCTTTAAGACTAACGTAGTAAGCCATCTAGCTACTAGCTTCACACAATAGGGCCTACAGTCCAAGACATGCACTTCCGGTGTACTCGGTAAAAGCCCAGGGTGTTCCATATATATGCTGAAGGGTAACTTTTGTGTGAAATACCTACGCTTTGTCAGGCTTTCTGAAAGTGTTGGTATTTGAAGTCCTGTAACGAGAATGTGCTTGAATACTTACATAGCTTTTCTAACATTGAGTTGAAAAATTAGCAAAACCAGATACAAGAGAAGGACTACATTCATATACAGCAGAGGTTATAATGAATTATAGGCTGGATATCTGGGTGACAGGCCATATTATCTTGGACCACTGGGTCAATTCTTAATGTTATTTTAAACAGTAGGAACACTTTAATGAGCAATATCAAGACTACATTTTATACGTGATTATGTAACATTTGTGTTGTCTTGACTATGCACCTTTTGTCCTTCTGGGTCACAATTGACCCATTCTGGTTTGCTGCTTGTTTTTAGCATCCAGTTAAATCTATCACCCAACCTTCTTAGTCAACTTCATTCCAACTCATTACCACAAGTTTTGCACTAGACTTTTTTTGCATTGAAATTCATGGTCAATAAACCTTATTTATATGAAACTATCCCAAATTATTTTGTAAAAAAAAAAAAAAGCAGAAATTATGAATTTCTTTCACCAATAATTAAAATCAGAGGACTGGTATATGTCAAAGTTTAATTAGGATACTGTTTCGAAAACCATTTAATTGTTTTTAATGGCAGCACATAATCACATTTGCTGTCCACCCAGGTTAAAAGTGACCCGATTTGGTTTATAAAGCACAATAGTGTGATATTGACACTTTGGGAAGACCGCAGAACCATACTGAATGACATCTGTCCATGAGCAGCTGGAGGAATGAAAAAAACCCTGCAGCGGACAGGCCACTGGGACCCCTGGTCCAAACACCAGCGTTGGAACGCCGACCATTTGGATTAAGAGGATTGAGTACAGATGACCCCTGGATGGTGCATACCACCGCCCGAGAGAAACCTAGACCCTCCAGGCGCCGCCTCTCAGCGGCCAGACCCGCAGGGGCTCGCCGAGAAGCGGACAACTCCTGATCACGCCTCACGCGTGAGAGAGAACCTCCCCCCTCCAGGAGAGCTTACACATGGTCCCGACAGCAACCGTTGGAGGCAGGGAAACCAGGACGCGCTCATGTGCTCCGGAGCCACCAGGATGACCATCAGGCTGAAAGCTCCAAGCAGTCCAAGAGGCGCGGGATCAGCTGAACCGGTGGAAAAGCATACAACAGCCGAGGAGGTCGCAGTGAGTACGAGAAGGCGTCCACTCATCTCGCAAGCTCAGTGAAAACCACAGGGCACACTGAGCGTTCTCTTGATTAGCAAACAGATCCACCTGTGCCACGCCGAACCCTGAGCCAGATCTGGGCTATCAGATCGGGGTGAAGGTGCCACTCATCTGGGTGATTGCCGCCCTCGACATGATGCCCGCCCCTCTGTTCAATGCGCCAGGGATGTACTCCACTCTGATGGAGAGCAAGTGAGTGTGAAAACATATTGATCATCATGTTTCCTGCAGCATCAGTGAATTACAGTTTTATATGTGACCCTGCTACTTTTCACATCACATGATCAACACAGACACATAAAGTCACCCTGTGGAGCTATTTCTCCATAGAAATCAGTCGATGAGCAGTCGTTATCTGCAGCGTTCATGTTCTGTAGCTCCTGCTGGAGCTGCTTTCTGCCAGCAGACGTCAGCATTTCCACTGTTTTCCCTCAGAGAGCTTTAACTGAACTTATGCAATGAACACTGAACTGTTGGTGTGAACACTTTCTGTCTGACTTACTTCATTTGGCAAAAATTTAAGGAGTTAGAATTTAGTTAAAACTGATTTAAACTGGATTTTTAAATCAAACTCAGCACACAAGTTAAAATAAAGTCCCTGTGCTCCCATTCATATTTGTCAATGTCAGACCTTTCATTCCTGCCTTTTCCCAGTGTTCTCCCAGTGCTGTTGATAGACAGACAGACGGACAGACAGACAGAACTTTTGTTCAACAAAAACATCATGTTTACAATAACTTTAACATTTTGACCGAAATTCATTTTAATTCAGTCTGTTCAGGCCAAGAGAGACGCTCATAAACACATCATGTTCAACTCCCTTACACACACACACACACACACACACACACACACACAGACACATTTTTAACACACACACACACACACACACACACACACAGACACATTTTTAACACACACACACACACACACACGCTTACTGTTTTATTTATTTATTTTATTAATATATTTTTATATTTTTTACACACACACTTACTGTTTTATTTATTTATTTTATTTTAATGTTTTTTTAACACAAATATACATATGCATTGATTACTTTACGCTTTAGTTACTTGTTTAATGAAATGTATGGAGTTCATTGTTCTTGTGTTGTATGTATGATGCTTTGGCAATAGGCTATTGTTGTTACACATTCATGCCAATAAAGCTAATTTGAATTTGAATTTGAGAGAGGAAGGGAGAGACTCATATTATTTCCTTTGGGAAACGGAGGAAATCCTGAAAGTTCAGACTCCATTTTAAGTCGACAGAGCAGAAGGAGGAAAACTGAAGGCTGAGGCAGGGTGAGTGTTAATCCAACATTTTTATTAGTTTACTGTCAAAGTCTCTGAGTCAGTTTTCTCCCTGTGGACTGTAGAGGAAAGAAATGAGAGATGCGTCATCACCACCAAAGATCCTCAGTACAGTTCTGCTAGTCCAGGTTCTGCAGGTGAAGCGGTGAGACAGATGGAGGTAATATAAGCAAGGACCGGGTTGTGATGTCTGGGTATTTAGCTATATCTGTGCCATTTGTTGAAACATGTCCAACTTTTCATAAAATTGATGCTCTAGTCACACAGTGTCACTTCTCGTGAACCGATCAATCACAGTCTGGATGGGGCGGTACATAAAAGAAGTTGACATGCGCTAAAAAATGAATGAATTGAATTGTTGATTTCATTGTTCTGCATGAAAGGTTATGGTCACACAGAAGTCATCAGTCAACCTGCTGCTGTCAAACCTCATCAAGGGGAATATGCTTCCCTCGGCTCTGGTCTGGATAACTTTATGATTATTGACAAGTTAGTAATTAGCATTCCTAAACCCAAACTGGAACCTGGTTCCACAGGAGAGGAGCTTGATAGCTGAACGCTCTGGCTCCTAGTCTACTTTTGGAGACTCTAGGAACCACAAGTAACCCTGCATTCTGGGAGCGCAGTGCTCTGGTGGGGTAGTAAGGTACTATGAGCTCTTTAAGATAAGATGGTGCCTGACCATTAAGAGCTTTGTAGGTAAGAAGAATGATTTTAAATTCTATTCTGGATTTTACTGGAAGCCAATGCAAAGAAGCTAAAACAGGAGAAATGTGATCTCTTTTCCTGGTTCCTGTCAGAACACGTGCTGCAGCATTCTGGATCAGCTGAAGAGTCTTAATGGACTTTTTCGAGCAGCCTGATAATAAGGAATTGCAGTAATCCAGCCTAGAAGTAACAAATGCATGGACTAGTTTTTCTGCATCATTTTTAGACAGGATGTTCCTGATTTTCGCAATATTACGTAGGTGAAAAAAGGCTTAATGTGAGACTTAAACGACATGTCCTGATCAAAGATAACTCCAAGATTCCTCACAGTGGTGCTGGAGGCCAGGGCGATGCCATCCAGGGAAACTATATCTTTGGGTTGTTCCTATTTTCCTCTATTAATGAGGAGTAGTACGCTGCTCTAGCATTACGGAGGGCCTTCCTATAAGTTTTAAGACTATCTTGCCAAATTAAACAAGAATTTTCTACTTTGGTGGAACGCCAATTCCTCTCAAGTTTCTGCGATATTTGCTTTAATTTGCGAGTTTCAGTATTATACCATGGAGCTAACCGTCTTTGTTTTAGTATTTTCTTTTTTAGAGGGGCTACAGAGTCGAGTGTCATTCGCAGCGAGCCTGCAGCACTAACAACAAGATGATCAATTTGGGAGGGACTGAAACTAGCATAGGAGTCCTCTGTTACTTTGTGACTAGATAATGTATTATATAGTAATATAATTTATATTAATATTATGCTAAAAGGATACTATTAAATTAACAATTATTTTTATTCAAAGTTATAACATTATACTAATACAGTAATTTATACTGGTTTCTCTTTAGAGTCTGCAGTGGACAGTTGTAGATTTAGCAGAGCCATTATGCCACACCTGCCTCCTGAGAGCAACACACTCCCCTTGTTCTGTTTTACATCTGTTTTATTAAAGTTATCGCTATATTATTGTTTAATAATCTTGTTTACATAAAGTGTGGCGTGGGTTGTGTAGGTGCTGCTGGTATATCAAGTTTCTGTTCATGCATGGTTCTAAAACCAAAGTCCCACATGTCACAAGCTTCAATGCATCAATCACAGCAGAGTTTTCTTTGATGTTTTTACTTGTGACTTTGATAAGTGATCTGTTTTTTTCACTGTTTTCAGAAAGTCATGTTTTCAAAAGACATCATTTAAAGAATGATAATACTATACTGTCTTCACTTCCACACATCATAATTGTTTGTTAAACTCTGTGTTACATATTCAACTGTGGTCTTAAATTTCATTGTGTGCTCCTCAGTTTTTCATTTATGAGCACACATACTCCTTGGGGGAAAAGAGTATAACCCTAATAATACACATTAACCCAAGAAAAAAACTAATACAAACAGTTTTACCTCTCAGTGACTGATGTCCAGAAGATGAATGTTTGTAAGGAGGAAGAGGAGGACAGAGCAGAGTCTCCAGTATCCAGCTGTCAGTCTGTAAAGAGTGACCTGTCCAGAGATGAAGCTCCAAACTTCAGTGATGAACCTGGACCCTCAAACACAAAGTAAGAAAGCTGGGGTGTTCGGGCAGTGGATAAGACACATGCCTTTGGTGTGAGAGACCCGGGTTAAAATCCACTGTGAGAAACCAATATGTCCCAGAGCAAGACACATTACTCCTAGTTGCTCCAGAGACATGCGACCTCTGACACATATAGCAATTGTAAGTCGCTTTGGATAAAAGCGTCAGCTAAATGAATAAATTTTAAACTGCTACTAACTCATTTGAAGTCACCGCAGCCGAATCTGTAATTATTCTGTAATTAATTTTCTCATATTTGTCCTCACAATATTGAGTTGTTGGTTCTTCCTCAGCTCAGCTGTTATGATCCACCTGATGCATCTTCAATTGGTTCACATTAGAATTGTTCAACATGTGTTCAAAGAATTTGTAGGAAAGCTTCGATCACCTTGATGAACACTTTGCTCTGAATCATCAGTAAGTGGACCTTTGAGCTCAGATTCTCACCAGCATATATTGTTCCTAAAGGTGAAGAACAAACATCCACGGGCAGCACTGATGGAAAAGTTTTCAGTGGATGAAAAAAGGCGCAGAAACTGTTCAAATGTAGATTTAGACCACTGCTCTTTTTTTAGAAAATATGAATTGCATTTATACCTTGATTTAATATTTGACAGTAAAGAGTGATGGGAAACACAAGGGGAATGACATACAAGAAAGGGATACTGTCTGGACTTGAACCTGTGACACCACTGTTACATGCTATGTGTCTGAGACTGCTCGTCTACCACAATAATTAATACCACTTCTAACTTCAGTTCAAACCTAAATAAATCAAGATAAACTGCCCAGAATGACTGTAAACAGTGAAGGACATATTCACCTCTCTTTAAAGGAGACTTCTACTATGAAGGAGCTGCAGGAAGTGTTGAGTTTGTATTAATAACAAACTATAGGCAGATCACTAAATGTTTAATAAGACAGCCAGACAGGAAAAGCAGTTAATTAGTGTTTCTGAAAGCTGAAATAAAACGAACAATCATCTTTGTTACCGACTGAAAACTGAATTCAAACAGAAAACTAACAACATTTTCATTGTTCTCTGTGACCATCTGAGCTTCTACACAGTGTCGGACAAATCTGGATATTTTTCAAAAACAGGCAACAAATCATTTTAGTTCTACTGAAATGTCTTCACAGAGAGAGGAAGAGGAGTCCTGTTTCTGTGGAGGAGCAGCCGTCCTGCTGTGCTTTGTGTCAGGACGTCCTGAAGGATCCAGTCTCTACCAGCTGTGGACACTGGTTCTGCAGACAGTGCATCACCTCATACTGGGACCAGTCTGCTTCATCAGGAGACTCTTCCTGTCCCCAGTGTGGAAAAAGATCCAGAAAGAGAGCTGGACTGCAGACAGCCAGTCAGAGCAGCTCTGTACAAAGTAAGACTGGACACCTGTCTGCTGATGTCGTCATGTCTGAAAACATCTGTCTAATTAATTTGTTTTTTTAATATTATCATGAATATCATGAATTCGGAAATATTTATATTTATCTGGATTCTTGCTCTCTGTTTAGTCTCTTTAGTTTCTGAATCTGTTTTTCTCTTTTAGCAGATTGTGGTCTGCAGGAGGTTTTAGATGAACATAAGATCAGTCTGAGGAGGAGATGTGAACGTGTGACTGAAGGAACTGAAGAAACAGGAAGTGGAACCCTCCTCAACAGGATCTACACTGAGCTCTACATCACAGAGGGACAGAGTGAAGAGGTTAATACCCAACATGAGGTGTGGCAGCTTGAGAAAGCTTCCAAGATGGAGACCATTCATGACACTCCAATCAAGTGCCACGACATCTTTAAAGCCTTACCTGACCAACAGAGACACATCAGAGTGGTTCTGACCAACGGCGTCGCTGGCGTTGGAAAAACCTTCTCGGTGCAGAAGTTCACTCTGGACTGGGCAGAGGGCTTGGAAAACCAAGATGTCAGTCTGCTGGTTCTACTTTCATTCAGGGAGCTGAACTTGATCAAAGATGAGCAGTACAGTCTTCTCACGCTGCTCCATGTTTTCCATCCAACATTACAGAAGGTCCCAGCAGAGAAGCTCGCTGTCTGTAAACTGTTGTTCATCTTTGACGGCCTGGATGAAAGCAGACTTTCATTGGATTTCCACAACAGTGAGGTTGTGTCTGATGTCACACAGAAGTCATCAGTCAACCTGCTGCTGACAAACCTCATCAAGGGGAATCTGCTTCCCTCGGCTCTCGTCTGGATAACTTCCCGACCTGCCGCAGCCAATCAGATCCCTCCTTCATGTGTTGACAGGGTAACAGAAATACGAGGCTTCACAGATGCCCAGAAGGAGGAGTACTTCAGGAGGAGAGTCAGTGATGAAGAGCTGTCCAGCAGAATGATCTCACACATCAAGACCTCCAGGAGCCTCCACATCATGTGTCTAATCCCAGTCTTCTGCTGGATCACTGCTACAGTTCTGGAGCACATGTTGACTACAGACCAGAGAGGAGAGCTGCCCAAGACCCTGACTGACCTGTACTCACACTTCCTGCTGGTTCAGACAAAGAGGAAGAAGCAGAAGTATGATGAGACCCATGAGACGAGTCAACAGGAGCTGACGGAGGCTGACAGGAAGGTTCTTCTGAAGCTGGGGAGGATGGCGTTTGAACATTTGGAGAAAGGAAACATCATGTTCTACCAAGAAGACCTGGAGCAGTGTGGTCTTGATGTCACAGAGGCCTCGGTGTACTCAGGAATTTGTACAGAGATCTTCAAAAGAGAGAGTGTGATCTTCCAGAAAACAGTCTACTGCTTTGTTCATCTGAGCGTTCAGGAGTTTCTGGCTGCAGTCTACATGTTCCACTGTTACATCAACAGGAACTTGAAGATGCTGGAGGACTTCCTGAAGATCAAACACATTGATTCAACCCTGGATGTCTTTCTGATGGGAGCAATGATGAAATCCCTTGAAAGTAAAAATGGCCACCTGGACCTGTTTGTTCGCTTCCTTCATGGCCTCTCTCTGGAGTCCAACCAGAGACTTTTAGGAGGCCTGCTGGGTCAGACAGACAACAGTCCAGAAATGATCCAGACAGCCATCAGTAACCTGAAGGAGATGGACAGTGATAAGATCTCTCCTGACAGAAGCATCAACATCTTCCACTGTCTGATGGAGATAAACGACCTCTCAGTTCATCAGGAGATCCAAGCATTCCTGAAGTCAGAGAACAGATCAGAGACGACACTTTCTGTGATCCACTGCTCAGCTCTGGCCTACATGCTGCAGATATCAGAGGAGGTTCTGGATGAGTTGGACCTGAAGAAGTACAACACATCAGTGCAGGGACTACTGAGACTGATTCCAGCTGTGAGGAACTGCAGAAAGGCTCGGTAAGTCCAGATGTGTTTTTCAAGACTGTAAAGCAACATACATTTTCAATTCAGTAGTGCGAATTCATAACTATGTTCTCTCATTGCACTTTTCATATAGAGCAGCTCTAGACGGTACTCTTTGTAATATTATTAACAGAGACACAACAGTTCCCACCATGAGAAAGCACTTGAAAACCTTGAACAGAAATGTGATTCAGGATGTGGATGGATGTCTGTTGGGGTTGAGGGAGAGAGAGAAGTTGGGGCACCTTTTCTGTACAGACGAAATTACAGATGAAATGATTTTTTTATATTTTAAGTTTTATCTTCTCTGTCAACATAGCCTTTCTGGATGTGGACTCTCACATACTCACTGTGAAGTCGTGGCTTCAGCTCTGAAGTCCAACCCCTCCCATTTGAGAAATCTAGACCTGAGTCACAATAAGGACCTGCAGGATTCAGGAGTGAAGCTGCTGTCTGCTGGACTGGAGAGTCCACACTGTAGACTGGAGATTCTGAGGTCAGTTCATGTATTTTGTGCTTGTCCAGTGTTAAATTTATTTAATTACATTACAGTATTTTTAAACTTCCTTCAGTTCTCTGGTTTTCTGAGTTTGTCTGAGGACAAATCACAACAGCTCTTTTTAAAGGTTTATCGACTCTGAATTCAGGCTGTACTCAAACTGATTCACGTTAGGGACCAAGCAGTAAAGGAAGGGACACAAGGTTTTGTAAAGTTTAGGCTTTATTAAGCCAACAAATCAAGTTTCAAACCATATTACACAAAATAGATATCAACAGAATTACTCAGAGTGTGTCTTAACTAAACTGAGGTCCACGTAACAAAACCACAACATAAGTGTGAACATAACAAACCTGACCTACTGAATGACACAAAAGGAGGGGTATATATACACACAGGCTAGCCTACACCAAACACAAAGGGGAGAAAACTTAACTTACTACAATTAAAAAGACCCAAAATAAACCCAACAACCAACCATAAGAAAATACTAACAAACAATACTAAAACACAATATTAATCTAACGAACAAAATATCCACATGCTGCTGTGTTGTTAAAAATTTGAATAGGATTTATCTTGCAATGCATTTCCACATGAAGTGCTTTGTGAAACTGGTCCTGCAGCACATAAAGAACAACATCCAAGCCGGCCTTGAACCTCAGCAGTTTGCTTTTTCAGCTCAGCATTCAACACAATTTCCCCCATGAAGCTGATCAGCAAACTCAGCACTCTGGGCTTGACTACCACACTCTGCAACTGAATATTGGACATCCTCACAAACAGACAGTTGAGACTGGTGGCCACACCTCAACATCAGAGCCCCCGAGGACTATGTGCTCAGCCCCCTCCTGTTCCCACTATACACATCGAGAAGAACTTTAAACGTGCTGGGACAGGTGTTAAAGAGATCGGCAAAGTTTTGGATTTAATATTAAATTATTTATTTTGTATTGGCCATTATGGAATTCCTTAAAAACATTGTCTTAGTATTTTTCATAAAATGACACATTATTGTCATGAATTAGAAGAACCAGAAAAAAAGGAAACTAACAAAAGTAATATGTCTGAGTTTGTCATTATTACAGACTGGCCTGAGATGTTGATCTGTGTTGACATATATAGGTGTATGAATGTTGTCCTGACATTTGTATGATGTCTGTGGAAGGCTGACGTCATGATGATCCAAAATCAGAAGCAGAATCAGAAGCAGAAATACTTGATTGATCCCCGAGGGGAAATTCTGTGTCACAGTTGCACACAATGCACAAAAGTCAAAAGGAATATAAATAAAGATAGTGGCATTTAAATATATATAAAATAAGGAAAATATAAAGGAGTGTGGATATGTACAACATTTACATGATAAAAGAAATTATTTTGGTATTTACATGATTAAAGGAATTATTATGGTAACACAATAACAAATGACAAAAAACACAATGATAAATACACTCTACCTATTTTAATGACAAATAACACAATGACAAATGGGTCAATGGCATAACGCCAACATTTTCTGTCTGACTGCATTTTTTCCTTTAAAAAGTTGAAAATCCTTATACGTCATTTACCCAAATACACTCATTGAATAGGACATAGTAATATTGAGCTATTTTATTCTTTTTTCAGATTGAGTCTCTGCAGGTTGTCAGAGATCAGCTGTGCTTCTCTGGCCTTATCTCTGAAGTCTAACCCCTCCCATCTGAGAGTGCTGCAGCTGAGTGACAACAAGCTGCAGGATTCAGGAGTGAAGCTGCTGTGTGATTTTCTGAAGAGTCCACATTGTAGACTGGAGACTTTGGGGTCAGACACCATTTTTTACTTCTGTGCTGGGATTAATATAATGTGAAAATAGTGGTGACACCAAACTGCAGACATAAGACTGAAGTTACACTGATCCACACTGAGTATCTTTAGTGCTAAAGTAAATTTTCTTCTTCAGTGACATATTTGCATCTTTGGAAACTTTGGGATCTTGAGTCTAATCTTAAATGAGTTTCTGTGGGGTTTTATTTGTGTTTGACTGCACAACATGAGCTTGTGTAGATGGATCCACTGGTGGAGCTGCAGAGTTAAAGAAGTGAAGTCACTATGTCTTTATGGAAATAACAACATTTGCATTTGGCTCTTCTCATCTATTTTGTGCCGCCTCAATCCTTTGTCCTCCTGCCTATGACCTGGAAATTGATCTCAGAGTGTCATCTCGAAGGACATCTCAATTTCTAAAATGCACCTCGTGGATCATGTAGGCTAGCTAAGGAGCGAAAAGAGGAACCACAGGTGTATCCTTTGCAGAAGTCTTTTCGGCACCCATGAGGTTTAAAAGAGGAGTGACAGTCAGCTGGAATATACAACCCATGGCAGGAGCACAACAGTGGTTCCAGTTGTATTCATAAGTTGTATTAATTATTTAAAATAATCCAATGCGTGATTTGAGATTTTACTGTGTCATTTCTTGTTCTACATGTCATAATGTTGACAGACATGTTTCTGGATTGTGAAGATATGATCTGTAGCTAGCTGGTCTGCTCATCTGACATAGATCAGAGCTGCTTGCTCAAATGGACAGATGGACAATGGACAGATGATGCAGCTGTGCAACATGTCATATTTAAATAACGTTGCATTAAAATGACTGCTCCGAGGCAAGGACATCTCATTTCGTTAATTGTCTGTTGCCTCAACCCCTTTCTCCTCATGGGTCTACCTTGACTCCTTCGCTCGCATCTTGGGTGGGAGGAATTAAGATGCGATGTGAGGAGTGGAGGAGGTACAAATCAAGAAATGAGGAAAGGCCTACTGTTTTCTAAAGCTACTTTATTTTTTATTCAGATTGTGGGACTGCAGATTGTCGGAGATCAGCTGTGCTTCTCTGGCCTCAGCGCTAAAGTCCAACCCCTCCCATTTGAGAGAGCTATGGCTGGGTAACAACGATCTGCAGGATTCAGGAGTGAAGCTGCTGTGTGATTTTCTGGAGACTCCACACTGTAGACTGGAGACTCTGAGGTCAGTTCACTGATTCTCTGTTGTTATTGTAGATGTTTAATGTTTTCATAACAGTTTAATCTAATTTATGTTTATACATATCTTCCATAAAGTTGTGAATTTCCATCTGATCCTTTTCTTGTACTGAATTTGGTAAGCAGTCACAAAAAGCTTGTGTTTCTAAAAGAAACTGTAGAAAATTCTGCAGTTAGTTGTTAAAGTAATTTTTGGTAAATGGTCACTTCTGTACAGAAGACCATCTGAACCTTTATTGTTTAAAATTGATAGTTTTCTGCTGGAGTAGAAATATTTCATTACTTTCTGCAGGTTGCAGTGTATTTTCAAAAATAATGCCTGATAATTGATATTGCTCCTTCAGAACACACACATAAATGGATCAAAATATATTTACAAATGCAGCTGTTTAAAGGATCAAAATATACGGTAAAATTTCTTCTTTAATTTCAGACTGGCCTGACCTGACCTGATCAGCATGTTATTAATCTGTGTTGACATTAGAGCTGCATCTATCGATTATTTTAGCAATCAAGTATTCTACTGATTATTACAATGAACAAAATTATAAATATACCATAACCCCAACGCCACCATGGGCCACTCGATCCACAACGTTGACATCAGCAAACCACTCACCCACACGCGGCCATCGGCCACGTACAGTGAAAACTGGGATTCATCTGTGAAGAGAACACCTCCCTGAGACGTTTCCTGACAGTTCGTGCAGAAATTCTTTGGTTATGCAAACCGATTGTTGCAGCAGCTGTTCGGGTGGCTGGTCTCAGATGATCTTGGAGATGAAGATGCTGGATGTGGTGTGGTGACACATGGTCTGCGGTTGTGAGGCCGGTTGTATGTACTGCCAAATTCTCCAGAACGCCTTTGGAGACAGCTGATCTCACAGTAATGAACATTCACAGGCAACAGCTCTGGTGGACATTTCTACAGTCAGCATGCCAATTGCACCCTCCCTCAAAACGACATCTGTGGCAATGTGCTGTGTGATGGACCTGCACATTTTCAAGTGACCTTTTATTGTGGCCAGCGTAAGGCACACCTGTGCACTACCCATGCTGTCTGAGCAGCATCTTGATATGCCACACCTGTGAGGTGGATGGTGTTGGTCGGACCACCGACGAGGGACCAGGAGTTGATCGGACCACCGGCGGAGCTGGTGTCAGTTGGACCACCGACGGGGCACGAGGAACAGGAATCAGCTGGGCCACCAACCGGCTGGGCCACAGTTGGTCAGACAACCGACGATGAACCAGAAGTCGATCGGACCAGCAACAGGACCCTGGGCACCGGCCGGGGATCAGGCAGGCAGCTAGCAGCGCTAGCGGGCCGGGGATCAGGCAGGCGGCTAGCAGCGCTAGCAGGCCGGGGAACAGGCTGGTTGCAGACGGGTCGCTGATGGTGACCTGGTCGCCTCCGATGACCACTACGGGAACCCGAAAAAAATGGCTAGGCGACTCCCTTCAAAGGAGGACTCCAGGGTAAGCCTAGCCTCCAGGCTATCAGGCCATAGATTAGCTGCCCGTGCTGCCTAAATTTTATTTATATAGCGCCAAATCACAACAACAGTTATCTCACAGCGCTTTTCATAAAAGAGCAGGTCTAGACCATACTCTGAGATGTTATTTACAGAAGCCCAACAGTTCCCACCAAGAGCAAGCACTAGGCGACAGAGGCAAGGAAAAACTTCCTTTTAAGAGGCAGAAACCTCGAGCAGAACCATGGCTCAGGGTGGGCGGCCATCTGCCTCGACCGGTTGGGGTGAAGGAGAGAGAGGGAGAGAGAGAATGAGAGAGAGAGAGAGAGAGAGAGAGAGGGCAGGAGAGGAACAGAGAGAAAAAGAGAGGGATGGAAGGAGAGAGAGAGAGAGGGGAGGGAGGCAGCCTACACAATATACACACACAGAGGTACAGACAGTAAAGGTGATGTTGCTATAGACTACATGAAAAATAATACAGATATTTATAGTAGTGTTAATGGTAACAGTCGTAATGTTAATGATTATAATAACAATAATAACAATAGGACTAGTAACAATAGTTGTAGCAGAGGGTGTCAAGCAGGAACACGGGGAAAGCAGGTGACCTGCAGCCACAGATCCAGACTCCACAGCTCCAGAGCCAGAAAACCTGCAGGAAGTGATAGGAGGAGAGAGGAGAGGGACGAGAAAGCACAAGACTACCAGAAAGGGGAGAAGTTGTGTTAGTAACATGCAATAATGGGATGAGGTTGCATACAGAGGGAGAGAAAGTAGAGGAGAGAGGAGCTCAGTGCAGTCTAGGCCTAAAAGCAGCATAACTAAGGGATGGTTCAGGACTCACCTGAGCCAGCCCTAACTATAAGCTTTATCAAAGAGGAAAGTCTTAAGCCTACTCTTAAATGTGGAGATGGTGTCTGCCTCCTGAACCCAAACTGGAACCTGGTTCCACAGGAGAGGAGCTTGATAGCTGAACGCTCTGGCTCCTAGTCTACTTTTGGAGACTCTAGGAACCACAAGTAACCCTGAATTCTGGGAGTGCAGTGCTCTGGTGGGGTAGTAAGGTACTATGAGCTCTTTAAGATAAGATGGTGCCTGACCATTAAGAGCTTTGTAGGTAAGAAGAATGATTTTAAATTCTATTCTGGATTTTACTGGAAGCCAATGCAAAGAAGCTAAGACAGGAGAAATATGATCTCTTTTTCTGGTTCCTGTCAGAACACGAGCTGCAGCATTCTGGATCAGCTGAAGAGTCTTAATGGACTTTTTCGAGCAGCCTGATAATAAGGAATTGCAGTAATCCAGCCTAGAAGTAACAAATGCATGGACTAGTTTTTCTGCATCATTTTTAGACAGGATGTTCCTGATTTTCGCAATATTACGTAGGTGAAAAAAGGCGGTCCTTGAAATTTGCTTAATGTGAGACTTAAACGACATGTCCTGATCAAAGATAACTCCAAGATTCCTCACAGTGGTGCTGGAAGCCAGGGCGATGCCATCAAGGGAAACTATATCTTTAGGTAATGCGTGACGGAGGTGCTTAGGCCCCAGAACAATAACTTCAGTTTTATCTGAGTTTAACATTAGAAAATTACAGGTCATCCAGGTTTTAACATCCTGAAGGCACATTTGAAGTTTACCTAACTGATGAGTTTCATCTGGTTTGATCGATGGATATAACTGAGTATCATCTGCATAACAATGAAAGCTTATGGAATATTTCCTGATAATATTGCCTAAAGGAAGCATATATTAAGTGAAGAGGATTGGTCCGAGGACAGATCCTTGAGGAACTCCATGACTAACTTTGGCATGCATGGAGGACTCATCGTTAACATGTACAAACTGAAATCGATCTGATAAATAGGACTTAAACCAGCTTAGAGCGGTTCCTTTAATGCCAATGAAATGTTCCAGTCTCTGCAATAGGATCTGATGGTCAATGGTATCAAATGCAGCACTAAGATCTAATAAAACCAGTACAGAGACAAGTCCTTTGTCTGATGCAATAAGGAGGTCGTTAGTAATTTTCACCAGAGCTGTCTCTGTGCTATGATGAGCTCTAAATCCTGACTGAAAATCCTCAAATAAACTATTGCTCTGTAGAAAGTCACACAGCTGTTTAGCAACTGCTTTCTCCAGAACCTTAGAGAGAAATGGAAGGTTAGATATAGGTCTATAGTTGGCTAAAACATCCGGATCAAGTTTGGGCTTTTTCAGAAGTGGTTTAATTACTGCTACTTTAAGGTACTGTGGTACATAGCCGGTTGATCGAGATAGATTGATCATATCTAGTATAGAAGTGCTGACTAAGGGTAAAACATCTTTAAGCAACCTAGTTGGGACGGGGTCTAAGAGGCAGGTTGAAGGTTTAGATGAAGAAATTATTGAAGTTAGTTGGTAAAGATTGAGGGAAGCAAAGCAGTCTAAACATATATCTGGTTCTACAGCTGTTTCTAAGGTTCCTGAGTTAAGAGATAAGTTGGTGCCAGTTGAGGTCAGGTCTTGGTGAATTTTGTCTCTAATAGCTAGAATTTTATCATTAAAGAAGCTCATGAAGTCATAACTACTGAGAGCTATGGGAATACTTGGCTCAATAGAGCTGTGACTCTCTGTCAGCCTGGCTACAGTGCTGAAAAGAAACCTGGGGTTGTTCCTATTTTCCTCTATTAATGACAAGTAGTACGCTGCTCTGGCATTACGGAGGGCCTTCCTATAAGTTTTAAGACTATCTTGCCAAATTAAACGAGAATTTTCCACTTTGGTGGAACGCCAATTCCTCTCAAGTTTCTGCGATATCTGCTTTAATTTGCGAGTTTCAGTATTATACCATGGAGCTAACTGTCTTTGTTTTAGTATTTTCTTTTTTAGAGGGGCTACAGAGTCGAGTGTCATTTGCAGCGAGCCTGCAGCACTAACAACAAGATGATCGATTTGGGAGGGACTGAAATTAGCATAGGAGTCCTCCGTTACTTTGTGACTTGAAAATGAATTTAGAGCTGATGAAATCGCATCCTTAAATTTAGCTACAGCACTATCAGACAGACATCTTGTATAGAAATTTTTGCCCAATGGCGTGTAGTTCAGCAATACAAACTCAAAAGTTATCAAACAGTGGTCGGACAAAGTGGGATTCTGTGGGTACACCACTAAATGTTCAATTTCAATACCATACACCAAAATAAGGTCGAGGGTGTGGTTAAAACAGTGAGTCGGTTCATGAACACTCTGAGAGAAGCCAATGGAATCTAATAGAGAGATAAACGCAGTAATAAAGCTGTCCTTCTCAACGTTCACATGAATATTAAAATCCCCTACAATAAGAACTTTGTCCGTTTTAAGGACTAAAGTTGACAAAAACTCTGCAAATTCAGATAAGAATTCAGAATACGGGCCAGGTGCTCGGTACACTATAACGAAGAGAATTGGTTGCAGGGATTTCCAACTTGGGTGCGAAAGACCAAGAACAAGGCTTTCAAATGAGTTATAATTTAGTTTAGGTTTAGAGCTGATTAGTAGGCTAGAGTCAAAGATAGCTGCAACTCCACCTCCTCGGCCTGTGCCTCGAGGAATGTGAGTATTAATATGACTGGGAGGGGTGGATTCATTTAGGCTAACATATTCTCCATCACCCAGCCAGGTTTCAGTAAGACAAAATAGATCAATATCATAATCTGATATTAGTTCATTTACTAGTACAGCTTTAGAAGAGAGAGATCTGATGTTTAAGAGTCCACATTTAACTCTCCTATTCGTTTGCACTATTGCTCTTGTGGTTTTAATTTTTATGAGGTTTTTATGCACAGTTCCTCTTCTGTTTACCTTTTTAAATAATTTCGATGGTCGGGGGACAGACACCGTCACTATTGGGTGAATTAGAAGGGCAGAGAAGTGTGTTCTCAACTCTGGGTTGTCATGGATTTGGTCCACTAATAAACTTGGCCAGATTTCTAGAAATGAGAGCTGCTCCTTCCCAAGTGGGATGGATGCCGTCTCTCCGGATCAGACCAGGTCTTCCCCAGAAAGTCTGCCAATGATCTACAAAGCCCACATCGTTTGCTGGACACCACCTCGACAACCAGCGGCGGAATGACGACATGCGGCTATACATGTCATCACTGGTCAGATTTGGCAGGGGTCCAGAGAAAACTACGGTGTCCGACATTGTTTTTGCATATGTACACATCGACTCAACATTAGTCTTAGTGACCTCCGATTGGCGTAACCGGGAGTCATTACCGCCGACGTGAATAACAATCTTACTGTATTTACGTTTATCCTTAGCCAGCAGTTTCAAATAAGACTCAATGTCTTATTTGAAACTGCCCCAGGGATGCACTTAACTATGGCCACTGGCTTCGCTAACTTCACGTTTCTCAAAATGGTGCTGCCAATGATCAGAGTTGGTTTCTCAGCGGGTGTGTCACTGAGTGGGGAAAATCTGTTAGAAACATGAACAGGTTGATGGTGCCCCATGGACTTTGAATGCTTACAACTATTCCTCCTTCGGACAGTCACCCAGCCCCCCCTTCCTGCTCAGGAAATCCCGGGGGACGGCTACCAGAGGCTAACTCAGGCCGTTCCGCACCGACTACCGGGGACTGGCTAGCTACAGTAGCTAAAGACTGATCTACCAAGGTGTGGAGCCGGACTTCTAAATCACTGAGCCTTGCCTCCATGTCTATAAATAAACTACACTTATTACACGTACCATTACCGCTAAAGGAGGCAGAGGAGTAACTGAACATCTGACACACCGAGCAGGAGAAAGTAGGAGAGAGAGAGGGAGAAGGAGAAGCCATCGCTAGCTGCTAAGCTAAAGTTGCTAACGTCTAAGCTAAAGTACTGTAGCGTCAGCTACCAAAACTTTAGAACAACTATGAGATTGAAGCAGTCACTAAAAGATGGAAAGAACTGTGAGTGCTTAGGCAAAATTACTGTAAAGAATAAGTGTTTAGCGGACAGTTGGCTGCTGTAATCTAACAAATGAAGCTGTTATTTAGTGAGAGCAGCACAACACGGTACCAACACACAAGCACCGGAAACGGAAATGAGTCGACACGCTTACTGCAGTACGTCAGCCAGAGCCTCTGACTCTCTTGCCTTCAAGGTCAGGTAGGCCAGGAGAGTCATTGACTCAGAGTCCTTGGTAGGTGGGGCTGGCAGGCAGACGGACAGGCTAGGCGGAGGACTAGCCCCGCTGGTAACAGGCAGAGGACTAGCAGTGCTAGCCGGCCTGGAAACAGGCCTTGCTGGTTTAGGAACGGGGTTGTGGATGAAGCTGGTTAGCCACTCAGGAACCATGTCTTTAAACTGAGGCTTTGACATAACCAGCCTTTTAGCCTTTGCTGGACAGCTTCCTTGTAGCCGAAAATGGCTGGCTTTGATCCAGATCTCCCAGAGTGCCTTCAAGTCCATACAGAGTTCAGAAAACTCCTCTGATTCAGTGTTTGCTGGGCTCAAATGTGTTCTGGTCATTCTGTCGGGATTGGTGGGTATGCAAAGCAGAAGTGAGCCCAAACGCACGACACTGTGAGCTGAGATAGAGTTCAGGGTTTATTAATCCAAAGCACGAAAAAGGTAACATCCAAAAAAGCAGCAACTTGTAGTTAACTCAACATACAACAGAACATACATGTGACATGCAACAATGACTGGACTAGGACTAAACAGAAACACCAGGTATATATACACCCAGGGACTAATGAGCAGGGCGGGAACAACACAGGTGAGGGACATAAGGCTAACGAGGCAGGCAGAGAGACAGCAGGGAAAACAGAGAGAGAGGCAGGCAGAGACAACAGGGGGCAACAGAGAGGCAGGCAGGCAGGCAGGCAGGCAGAGTGATAACTGGGGGAACACTTGACAGGCAGACATGGGGCAAAATTAACAGAACAGAACACATGTAATAAAATACCAGACAAGAATCGAACTCAATAAAACCCATGTAAACAGACAAACACCAACCAACTATAACACAGGGATCATAACAGACTAAACCTAAAGGAGAACCCAGAACTAGAACACAGAGTACCAAGCAGACTAAACCAAAATGATGCAGAGAAAGAACTAGAAGCAAATACTACGACATGAACTAAGGCACAGGACTAGGAACAAAGACATGGAACAAAAACCCAGACTCCCCAACAAGACACACAGACAGACATGACTGAAACCAAAACCCAGACACAGAGAAAACAAAAACAAAACACAGAAGGCATGGCCAAAATAATGTAACACAGACAGGACAGGATCGTGACAGCCTGGGGATCTCCATCACCGGTGTAAGCCTGCCTTGGACCGGAGCATTCCAGCTGGGCGCTGATCCCCAGTGCCACTTGCACTAACTGTGCTTGTCTCTCCCCTGAGGAAAGACAGCTACGAGCAGACAACTTTGCTGTGCAGGACAAGGAGGTGTAGCTTCCCACCCACTCGCTGGATGAAGCTCTGAATTTCCTGCTCCTTGAAGGACAGAAGGTGGACAGCTCCGCTCCTTCCCTTCACGGGTCTCCAAACAGTTCTCCCCTTGCCCTGTTCCAGGCCATGGAGGACACCAACTGAGCTTGGCGACTCCAGCGCAGAGGGAGAACTCCCGGGGGACCCCAGGATCTCCTTCGCCACAAAGAGTGTGGCCTCCTGCCTGATCTGACCACTGAGATCTGGAGCAGATTTGGGGTCTGTTTCCGCACAGGAAAAACACTCAACACCTCCTTCGAGCCCCTGGAGTAAGCGGAGCTGAGGTTTCTCTCAGCCAAAACCACTCTGCTTCTGGCTCTGACATCTGCCAAGATAGTCAACGACTTGGCTGCCCTCTCTGTGGCTCCCTTGTGCCTCAGTATCAAGGGGAATGGCAGTTTCGCTGTTCTGCGCCCCAACCCTGCTTTCATGCCCAAGAGCATTACAAGCACTTTTAGGTCAAGAGTGATTACTCTGACTGCCTTCTTCACGCCTCCTTACAGGTCTGTGGAAGAAAATACACGTCACCTTCTCTATCAGATGCGCGCATTGTCATGTTATGTGGCGTGCATGGCTGGTTGGCGCCGTTCCCAGTGATTGTTTGTGTACTACAGGGATCAGTCATTGGGTCTTCCCCTCTCTGTGCAGTGTCTGTCTCACTGGCTGTGCAAGGCCAGATCAGAGGCCTATCTATACTCCGGTGAGACACCCCTGGAGGGCATCAGAGCGAGAGCAAAGCGTCTCTTCGTCTGTGGCGTTGGACAGCAGGATGATGGTGGGCGACATTTTCATACGTGATATTCTACAATGCCGCTCTAATGGGCATGGGTGGTGTGCCATTACACGCTGCGCCTATACTCATAGAATCTGGAGTTGAACTATCATTCAGTACAACAAAGACGTTGAGATACACCGGATAACTACAATGACCTAATTTTGCTGTAATTCTGACAAGAATCTATCACAGCAATACCCTAAAGCTCCGAACAAACCGACTCTTGTCTAAGAAATCCTGTGACTCAACCCTGCAACAACAAATACTGATCACTGCACACAAAAAATTTATACTACATCTGATGTTAATTGGAGACTCAGGAGTGGAAGGTTCAAACCACAGCTGCACCAATCACAGACGCCAGTGAACTGCAACCAAGAAGTTGGAGGTCTCATGTCTGAAGGGACCAATACTTGATGGGAATCACACAAGAGGTTCTGCAATAGAAAAAGTAAAAGTTTACATGAATTAAACAGCTACCAACAACAATGTAACAGACTTTACAGAATTATCTGCTTAATTTGAACTTTATTCAGACTGAGGCGCTGCAGTTTGTCAGAGATCAGCTGTGCTTCTCTGGCATCAGCTCTGAAGTCCAACCCCTCCCATCTGAGAGAGCTGCAGCTGAGCTACAACAAGCTGCAAGATTCAGGAGTGAAGCTGCTGTGTGATTTTCTGGAGAGTCCACACTGTAGACTGGAGGCTCTGAGGTCAGACACCATTTTTACTTCTGTGCTGAGATTAATATGATGTGAAAGTTGTGGTAACATAAGGCTGAAGTTATACTGATCCACACTGAGTATCTTAATGCTAAAGTCTATTTTCTTCTTCAGTGGTTTAGTCCATTGACTGTGGCAGAAAAATGTTGATTTAAACACTTAAAACCTAAATACATCTGATTGGAATATAAACATATTTCTATCATTTATTTTTCATTCAGATTGAGTTGGTGCAGTTTATCAGATATCAGCTGTGCTTCTCTGGCCTCAGCTCTGAAGTCCAACCCCTCCCATCTGAGAGAGCTGAAGGTGAACTTCAACAACCTGCAGGATTCAGGAGTGAAGCTGCTGTGTGATCTTGTGGAGAGTCGACACTGTAGACTGGAAACTCTGAGGTCAGTCGAGGGTTGGAGGCAGTCCATGTGTCTTTAGTTTTGTCCAAATGTTTTTAGAACAGACATATTTACAAATTTCTTCTGTAATATTTTAAAAGTAGATGACATATTCAAATGTGACTGAGCCGCTGGTTTTTAACAGCTTTGAGCCCTAACAGCAGTAAATCCATCATTACAGTGAGCAGTGAATATCTCTCTGCAGTCATGATGTGTTCAGGGACTCTCAACACTTTATTTCCACTGTGTACTTGAGTGAAATCTGCAGAGGAAACCGACTTGATGTGTAAAGTCTGTGCAGGTCTCAGTGTGTTCACTCCAATATGTTAAAATGAGAGATGAAAGGAAGGTGGCTACACTACACAGCCGCTCCACTTCTGGTCGGAACAGGACTGAAGTCCCTGCTGGTCTTTATACTGGATGTTCTGCATCACTGACTGACAGCTGATGAAGGGAGTCTCTGTAAACTCTGATTTATGACTTCTGCTGTCTGTCGTCTTCTCTCACCAGATGGAAGTGATCTCTGTCAGAGCGTGAGTGATGAGAAAGTTGGTGGTGTTGAGAGAAGATCAGCTGTGTCCTGATGATCCAGCGAGGTTGAAGCAGCAGCATCAGCTTGTGTGTGGAGATGCTCTGACTGGGCCTTGTTACTGGGAGGTAGAGTGGAGGGAAGAGCTTCATCCAGCAGTAACCGACAGAGGAATCACAACAGTGCTGCAGTCTGAAATGCTTAGCTCCACTTTCAGACACAAAGTCAAGTCCACCATCATCCCTGTTCTACACAGTCTCTGCTCCACCTCCTCCACCTGGACTTTATTTCATTCAGATGTTCTGAATCCAAAGTGCCTCTGCAGATTAGTTCTGTTTAACTCAACATAACTGCAAATTAACACATTTAAATGGATTCTTCTGGGTTTTTTTCTGTTTCTGTTGCAGCTTCATCTTGTGGATTGAATTTCCACATTATATTTCTAACACATTTTGGACATTGACGTGAAAAAGCAGCATCTAGCATGCATGCATAAAGTAATTTCTCTGAAGTTCTGCTTATTAACACCAATACCAGACTCTTCTCACAGTTTAATAGATAATTGTTTTTAATATACAAACATGAAGATAATACCTGTAGAAAGTTTGGATTTAATCAAAGCTTCTTGACGTCTACAAACTGAAACATGATTCTGATTCCAGTCTTAAGTCTCATTGTTATTACTGCAGGATTAAATATCTGTTTACTTTTTGAAATAGTCTCTCTCTCTCTCTCTCTCTCTCTCTCTCTCTCTCTCTCTCTCTCTCCCTATATATATATATATCACCAGATTGTGTTGTTGCGGAAAACTGAACTAAATAACTGCAAAGTCTTGTGACAAATATCTATGGGTTTGTCACTATGAAAGACCTTTTTCATGTTCACTTCATCATTTGATGATGGTTAATAAAAAAATATTGTTTAGACTCGCTTTTAGTCGCTGAATTATATCTCGATTTTAGTGAAAAGCCAGTGCTGTCTTAAACCTTGGTCAGATCCTGAACACCAGAACATTTTAATAACTTCTTATGTATCCTTTTTTCTTTTGATATTAAATTAATCAGCAAAAAGTAATATATAAGTTCTAACTATAAACGTTAGTGTCATTATTAGTGATTAAGATTACGCACATGTAGACATTTGTTGTGTTTTCTCATGTCAGTTTACATTGTTGCAGGAAAAAAACAATCCCGTTATTCAAATCCTATTTTACATCTCATGTGATGTAAATCTCCACAATCCAGCTCCTATAAATATAAATGTGCTGCTGTTGGTGTAAATAAAGCCCATTTGTTGAATTACTTCTCTGGATATCCAGAGTTATTTGTGACTGAAGAAGATTCAAGTGTTGCTCATTTCCAGCAGCTGCTAGACTCACCTGAGGCTTTCTAATTCTTCTGTGCAGCCTTAGAAAGCAGCAGAGTCCATGAATGAGTGTATGTGATCTTTGTGACTTTGAGCGTGAAATGATTGTTGGTGGTTTTGAGGAGCTCAGAGCTGCTGAACTCCTTATTTTAAACAGAATTAATCAATAACAGTGGAAGTTGAAGTTCTGCTCATTATCACCAATATCATTATGTCATATTATAAAATATCAATATTTACTTGTGAGGAACAGAAAGGAGGAGATAAAACCTGAAATGTTCTACCTTTTTGTTTTTCATTCATTTTAGCCACAGATGTTGTGATTTTTGAAATGGAAAGGGATCAAAATACACATATATAGGCAAAATAGAGTTTAATTAGCCTATTAGACAAAGGATTATGATCTCTGACCAGGTCGTTCACACAGTGAAGGGTTTCATCAGAGCCTGATCGCCAAACAGCTGCTTGGTTGGTCTACCGCTGCCTCATTTGGTTGTGTCATTGTGTGACTTTGGTGTTTTAAAGGGATAAAAACACCAAAGTCACACAATAACACCCACTAACTGATTGAGACAACGGTAGACCAGGGAGGTAAAGTTACTGTTTTTGTTCGTTGGCTTTGAAGAGAGCCATAAAGGGACTGTTTCTGGGTCTGGAAGATCAGCTATGTGTGGTGCATGGAAATAGTAGTCTGGATGTTGTCCACAGTCCTCAGATGCTGGCCTGTAAAGGAATATATAGTTGTTCTATAGTTGTTACTTATCACTTATTGATCTTATTGTCATGTTCATTCAATGTTTACTGTCTGCTTACACTTGATATCACATCAGTGAATTTTTGTTGATTCAAAACTTGATCATAACTTTACTAAAACATTACTAGTACTGATCTGTGTACTATTACAATACCAATATTGGATGATGTAACAGTGCACTGAAAAGAATCATAGACCCATTTAGTCATGTCAACATACTTCTTCTTTTTAACTCAAATAGCTCTGACAACAAATTGTATAACGTAACATCATCGGTTGAAACAAAGCTTTTCTTAAAGTTGAGTTTACTCACATTTTTAAGGCAGCAATTGAACTTAAGTTTTTAAGTTGAACCACCTAGATAATTTTTACAGTGTGCTATTTTTGATTAAGATAAATAAAGTTGACGCTCAGAGCAAGCACACACACACACACACACACACACACACACACACACACACATAAACTCACCTGATATCCTATAATGGAGAGTGGAGGAACAACACTATTAATGATTGTTTTATGATAAATTATGTGTTTATGAATATAGAAAATGGGATGAGATTTTTGTTTTTTGCAGATGATGGGGCAATTTGGAAGAGTTTGGAATTCATTGTTGGCTGTGTGAAAAGAGTGGGGGGTTGAATTTTCGATCGTTAAAACAAAAAGAAAAATCTTTATAAAGAAAATAATTGCTATTGAGGAAAAACTAAAATTATAGAATCAAAAATTGAAAAGAGGGAAACATTTATGGTGTGTTAATGATGGAGTGACATAGGCTATACATATTATTTATTTTATTATGTAGATCAATATAAGATTACGGCTGGGTGAATGGGATCAGCAGCAAACAAAAGGTTTAGACAATTGAAAAAGCTAAATGGTGTCTGGTTGTCAGGGTCGGTGGGTGCGCAAAGCAGGAGTGAGTGTCAGGGAAAATAATTCCTTCCCAAAGAATACGGAGTCAAATAGATGTGTTGAATCATTTCTTTATGTAACGTGGCCACGGAGAGAACGCACGGTTACTCTCCCAAACTCAGCATTTCCTCTCCTTAAGTACAGAACAAGTACAAAGCCAACAACAGCCAACAAATGGTAGATGAAGGAAAACAAATGGCATATTAGCATACACTCAAAAACTCTTCCTGAGCTAAGAAAGGAAATACAAATATATGTGGCATCAGATGTTACTCTGTCTCTTGACTGGTCTATGTTAAAACTCTCACCTAAATGACAGCAGACGTTTATTGTAAATCAGACAACCCTTTGTTTAGGAATAAAAACCCTGTGGCCAATGCTAATTTCTCACAAGTTAATTACTGTGAAATCCTAAAAATCAGCAACTTTTAATGTATTTCTCACATGAGCCTAAATGCACGACACTTAGCGCTGAGATACAGTTCCAGGTTTCTTTAATCGAGGCAAGACCAACAGGCAAGACAAAACTCACATGTAGTGAAAACTGGCACATCCAAACATGCAGACCGAGGTAGCACTGTGACTGGCAGAACGCACAACATTCGACAGAGCATACATGCAACATGCGTCAAAGACCGGACAAACTAAGCCAGACACATGCAGACAGGATACGAATACACTAATAACAAGGAACACAGACTGAAGAAAAGATAAAACAGAACTCAGAGCAGACATGGGCAAGACCACACAGAAGTACACAGACCAGGAGTAAACACTTAAGACATGAACTAAGGTACAGGACTAAGAACTAAGACACCAAACTAGGAAATAGGATACGAGACAAGGCAGATACGAAGTAACTTAAAGATGCAGATGAATAAAATAATAAAGGCTACACAGAGACTAAAGCAGAATGATCAAAATCAGATTAATTAATGAAACTGGTGGAAAACATAAATTGACACCTAACAAACAGGCAGAACCCAAGCATGATGGTAGAGAACTAACACATGCAGGAACAGAACTAAACAAGTACTAAGGCAGACACCGAGATAACAGGACAGATCAGAACCACCACACAGAACAACAAGACCACAGACAGACAGGACTGAAACCCAGACACAGAGAAACCAAAATCAAAACACAGAGAAGGCATGGCCAAAATAATATAACCCAGACAAGCTCAGGACAGGATCGTGACACTGGTGGCTTTGAACATTTGATTTTGTGCACATTTAAACAGGATGCAGGAAGAAGGACCAATTGATTGAAATGGTTAGCAGTTGCATGATGGTTGGTGAATGATTTTCTACACAAATTAATAATAAAAGAAAGTATTACAGATTATTTGCTTAAAAGTTAAGTGTGTAAGTTTAGTGGTGAGGGTTGCGAATTGCACCCCCCTCCCCTATCCAAGCGAGTAGTATAGCTATGGTGCCTGAGACAGGACAAAGATGTCCTCTGTGAGATAGAAGTGTTTGCCAGTCAAGAAATGAGGTTTCTTTAGATAGACCCATCCATCCATCCATCCATTGTCAACCGCTTATCCTGCGCACAGGGTCGTGGGGAGCTGGAGCCAATCCCAGCTGACATCGGGCGAAAAGCGGGGTACACCCTGGACAGGTCGCCAATCCATCGCAGCCACAGTCCATTATAAAACACATAATACCTGAAGTTTACAAAGGCATTGTCGGGTGAGTGGCACAGTGGCAAAGCAATATCCAATAATAATATAATGTAAATTATATTACATTTTATTCATTGTTGGTCACTTGATAGGCACACGGTCTTGTTATATATCACCATTAGCAGTAAAGAAATACATGTTTTTCACCAGGGCAGTAAAATGTGAAGTTTAGCTGCTGATCTGAGCTTCCCTGCTATTACCGTTTTATTACCAATAATATTCATCAGCTGTATGACTCATGAAGGTAAGGGCACATTTCTGTCCACGTAACAAAGCCATAACAGAGCGATGGAGAATAACATGAAATTACAATCCAACTACACATTTTTTCTACCAGCACAGTAAAACTTTAGCTGGCTGATCTGAGCTTCAATGCTGGAAGCTTGCCAATTGACCCTTCACAAGCCAGCTGGCCAATCACAGTGCAGTATAGGACTCACTCTAACTGAGCTCCGATAATTTCATGGCTGCTATCCATTGACTCTTTTTCATTTGTCTCAATCGTCGGGGGATGCGATTGTTCACTTGTACTGTGTGATCAGTAGGCTTTAGCTTCTATATATTTTTTTTTTCACGTCCGAGTTTGAGTCAGTTTGACTGCCTGAATACAACCTTCAAATGTATAATGCAACTGCAAAACTGCCTGCTTCTTTCTGAGATCGCTTTTTCCAACAAATTTGAATATTTCTCCGGGTAGTGCAGTAATAGACTGTGGCAGCACCAACATTTGTCGGACTTAGCAACAGTAACTAAGGGGGGCAGGGCTTAGCGAAGGGTCAATTAGCGATCAGCAGAATGACTAAATTAAATTAATCCAACTAACGTTAAATATTTTACACCACAAACCAAAGCACGGAGAGAATAAAACAATCCAACTAACCTTACATGATTTTTTTTACCAGGGCAGTAAAAGTTTAGCTGGCTGATGCTTCCCTGCTGTAAGCTAACGTTACGTATTTATGGCCAATTAACATTACTGAGCAGCTGATTGTCTCACTAACGTAACCGGCAAAGCCAACCCACAGGCTGGAGAATAAGTAGGTGATATGAAATTAATCCAACTACATACTTTACACCACTGACAGGGGAAACACCTCATGTCTCTCGGTAATAATGGCGAGCTTCTAGCTAAAGCTATTAAACAACAGCTTTCATTTGCATTGCTACAGTCTGACAAACTTAAGTTAATTACCTGTCCAGCAGAAAACAGGGAACTTGAGCACCGCTTTGAAAACATCTGTCCAACATCATAGCCTTCCATCTGGGAAATCCACAACATCCAAGATCTGCCGTCATCTGTCTGTATCTGTCCCGACTCTGTCTGGCTTAATGGTATAAAGATCCCCACGCTGTCGGCTCTCATGTCAAATAACACGCCTGTTCTCGTTCATTTGTCCAAATGTCACTTCTCTTCTTACTTCTAATAAACCAGAAGACTACTTAGAGACTGCATATTATTGTTATTATAAATTCCTCCTCTTCTTCTTTGGACGCATTTAACGTAGTGACGGGCGTCTACACTGCCGGAATTATACAAGCAGAAGAAGAACGCCGTTGTCCGTCGGCTACATTAGAAA